TTTTGATCGTGGATGTCCACTATGCAGAAGGACAGAATCTTGTGTGTGGGGCACCACAAACTGTCTAGAGAGCAAGCTCGATAAAAGCTGTCCCCAGAAACGGAATGTATCAACCAATTTTTTGGTGGAGGGGGATAGACATACACGGTTAACTCATAATACATTCCTTGATACTGAAAAAGTGAAGACACTTGGGCAAACCAAAAATAATGGTATCTCATTTGGTATGTAGTTTAATTTAAAAAAATTAAATAATAATAATCTGTATTCAAAAGCATATAATGAGTTAACGTAACTAACAATCATAATGAAAGAATAGTAAAAACTGTGCAACGTCTTGGACTGGAACATGTGATCTGAGCCGCATGGTCACGAAAGAGTTATGACAAACAATTCTGTGTGTATTTATAATTATGGTGTATATTTATCAAACATACTTGTTCTTTTTTGTGTTCACCAGCTGTAAACTCAGGCGGAAAGTTCCGGTTGTTGCATGCACATCCGTTTTACAGATCTGACTTATTTATGTGCAGACTGTTCGTTCCGTGCCTCTCAGGCAAATGCATTCTGACTTTGAAGGAAGCCCCCCAATTAGTCGACTCTTACAGCATGCTTGTTGGGAAGGCATGTTTTTCCCACAATGGGATCCCAGAACCCACTTAGGGATATCAAACATAATCAGTAATTTATTTTAACACGAATACCATTGCAGATGAACCTAATTCAGCAGACCTGAGCAGTAATCGAAGGACTATTCTTGAAATAACCAAGGCATTTCATCCAACAGTTGCTTACTTAAAGAAGCATAATATACCATAATGCTGATTTGGTACATTCATTCATTCAGTAGCATGTCCCTCGCGGAACCTCGCTGCCATAACAACCCTCCGGAAAACCTTCCTATCATGAGCAAGATGTCCTGCGTCTGATACACCCATCTGGAGATCATCTGCCACATCCTGCACCCATCTTCTCCTTGGCCTTCCTCTTCCTCTCTTCCCAGGCATATACCCCTCCATTATTGTTCTCTCTAGACTTCCATGACGTTTCAAGTGACCAAAATATTTCAATTTTATTTGGTACATAGGGTTCAACATAATCATAAACATGGATGAGACATAACATACAACATTATGAAAATAGGTGTGGAAAACATTTGTCATGGTTATCTTTTAAAGCCGTTTCCAGTCACAAGAACAAAGAGATGTGTGGTATGAACTCTTCTGAGTGCATCCTAGCCAGGTGTGTTGCCATGGAGAGCACCCCATACACACATTTTTAAGCACAAGGGGAGGGGCAACTGAGCCATCTCCCAAAATTAATAAAACATTGTGGAGTGGGGTGCTAAGAACCCCTCTACACAACCAAGCCCTTCTCACCACCTAGGGCTAAACACGTGTACGGGGTAGAGAGCTCACAGTCCTTCACCCCTTCCTACCCCCAGTAAATACAGAAAACACAAGCTCCCACCCCCAAAACCACACCTTCCTCACCACCTTACAAATTTTCTAGTAAGATAATTTTAGGGTGGGGCTGAGGTCCTTGAGGCCCCATCGCCTAGGCCACTACCCCCCCCCACCTTTTCCCCAATAATTCAGAAAAGGGGGCTGAGATATCCCCTTTAGCCGCGTATAGAATTTATATTTTGAAAGTATCTGTTTACACATTTAATATTATTTCAACTATTATACTTATTTGTCATTCAGCGCATTATTATTATTAATGTGCTGAGCCCGGCATACTAGCTAAGGTGGTTAAACCAGCTGCACAGATACTGGGTGACGAACTCCTCGTGGTTTGAGTTTCAGTTCACGGGGGGGGGGGGGGGGGGGGGGTGGGGGGGGGGGAGTAGACAGAAAAGCCACATATTTCCTAGATTTACGGTATCTATCATGAAATCCAGGCCGAAAGGTTACGATATCCTCAGTATCTAGCCAAAGGGTAAAACTCGTGGTTTCTGGATCAGATCAGTTTAAAAAAATTTAAATAATGTGCTGAATAGCACATAAATATAATATGCTTGAAATGTGGTAAACAAATATTTGTATGTTTAAATGTCTATACATGGGTAATGGAACTCTCAGCCCCTTACAAAATTAAGGGGCGCCTCATCCATTGTTAATTTGGTCAGAGATTATCGGCGTCTGTGGCTTAGGCATTGCGAAAGCGCTTTGTAATGCTGGGGTGCCAGTTTTGATCTTTGCTACTGACAATTTGTTGTGCGCTGGTTTCGACAGTGGTACAGAGAGCTGACCATTCAGAGAGCAGTGGCCAACTATTGAACGTAAAATTTACCTAGAAAAACCATAACAGTCAATAACTGCTAGGATTGGTTCTGCAACGTCCTGTAAAGGATATGCAACTTTTTCCCAAAAAAAATCTGGCAGCTTCAATGACCAGTTTTTCTGTGTCTGTAGTCTATTTAAAAATGCGTTTCTGATTTTTTTTGGTTTTAACAGTGGTTCTTTCCCGACTGTGATTCTTTCCCTATATGGAGTGTAACTTTTTGCGGCCGAATCTGAGTCGTTTTTCACTCATTCAATACTCAAATATTCTAATTTGATTCTTTGAGTGGTGTCTTGGTTTCAGCATTCAAATTAATACGTTGTTAGTTAGTTGCATATCCTTTACAGGACGTTGCAGAACCAATCCCATCTGAGTTCCGGGGCTCACTGTCGAGGGGTGGGGAAGGGAGGTGGACAGAGACTCACTATCACCATTAGCATATAATAAAAGTTGACTAATCAGGGGTGTTTTGTTTGAAGCCAGAGTGGATATGAGTGAGAGATGAGGAACCAACAGTCTGCACACACCTATAAAACATGCATTTTTTGACTGTTGTGGTTTTTCTAGGCACATTTTACGTTCGGTAGTTTGCCATTGCTTTCTGGACGGTCGACTTCTCGATATTGCTGTCGAAACCAATGCAAGGTGCAAGGCCAGCAGCTGGGATTATACCTGGCATCCCGGCATTACGAAGCATGCTGGCAACACCTAAGCCACAGAGGCGACAATTAATATGTACAAGATCATTTCCTGATGTTAAAAATAAAATGTTAAAAAGAAATTTTGTGTGTGTGTATGTATGTATATATATATATATATATATATATATATATATATATATATATATATATATATATATATATATATATATATATATATATATATATATATATATATATATATAGGCACTCTTCCGAATACCGGTCCCAAATTATTCACCGTTAAAAAATCCTATTCAGGGCCTGAAGAGGTCATTTTTTAACCCTTAACAGGACGGTTGGCACGTTGTGTTGTGGTTTACAGCTAGGCTGCGAAATATGCGCCTTTCGCTTGTTCTTGTGGTTCACAGCTAGGCTGCGATAGCGGCGGTGAGATGCTCAATGATAATGTCAAGGGTAGGTAAACTTCGTTCTTTTCGTTCGCCCTTTAAAGAATGGTTATCATGTTGTGTTGTGGTTTACAGCTAGGCTGCGATATCTGCGCTCTTTGCCCCAAAGCATCCGATTTCAGCAGTCCTAATTAGTCGCCTTTTACAACTTTTATGTGGCAGTGGATCTATTTTTTCTTTCCCCTAAAATATTTGGCCCTGGACCCCCGCAAGGGCACTAATGGGTAATGTAAACAATGGATCAAAAATCATTCACGTCGCTTAAATGGATGGAACTCTACTCCTCCCCAAGACGCTTAAACAATGGATCTAAATCTATTCTTTTACACGTCGCTTCAATGGATCGAAAACGATTCCTCCCCACGGCGCTTAACTTAACGTCTAAACATTGATATCCAGCGAGCAATAACGGCACAAGTGGAAACTGATCATGATGGCCTAAACAGTTTTACTACATAACCTCCTGAGGGACGTTTTTCGGCAGTGAATAATTTGGGACCGGTATTCGGAAGAGTGCCTATATATATATATATATAAACATCAGGAAATGATGATATATATATCATTTGTTAAATACCCACAAACAATGAGCCTATAAAAAATATTTTTTTCAAGTAATTGCACCTTTTCCTTATGGTGGCGCATAAATGCAAAATTTAAAATTGCACATAATCATTTAAAATACCCTTCAGAGAGAGAGAGTGTGTGTGTGTGTATATATATATAAATATAAAATAATGTTTTTTTTTAAATCAGATATCTAATAGTTGTTGAGATGCTGTGTGATATTAAATTGGTACTGTTTAATGTGGTGCATTGGTAAAATCCTAATCAACGGTTTGTTTCATTATAATTTTTTTTCTGCCTTTTTTTTTTTAAATCTCCCAATGGAGCCTAGACAACTCAAGCCCACCTGGCTATTGCTGTCTGATGCAGCTCTTTTCATATCTTGGCCATTAATTTCTGTATAATTCTCTTTTCCATATATTTTTTGGCCTCCTCTAGCTTTTTAACCCTGTGAGTTCAAGTGTAAAAACTTTCTAGTTCTTTTTCTTCTTCTGTTTGCTTAAAATAGATTATCTATATCTGCAATGTTGTCTCTAGTATGAACTTGACTGAATGCGTTTGTGTGTGGCATCCTGATGGTTGTGGTGCGCCTCCTGGCTGACTGCTCCGACTTCAGTACCTTTTTTTTTTACTTATTGCAATCCACCATGGCACTTTATATTTTCAAAGCATTTCAGTCTCCTGAGAAAAGCTGCTGTTTATGGGCTAATTTTTCTTCATGTTCAGTTTTGTTCCATATGGTACTATAATTGTTCTTGTCTCATCAAATTATCTATGCCAGTGTTTCCCAAACTTTTCTTAGTCGCTGCGGCTTTTTTCAATTAACATTTTTCCACAGCATCTAACCTAAGTAAAAGTATAACTATTCGTATGTCAAAGATTAACACACAAAAAAAAATTTGTGTATCTTCGAATATTTCACGGCGCTCCTGTGATGAGGTTGCGTCTCCCTAGGGCGCCGCAGTGCACAGTTTGGGAATCACTGGTCTATGCCATATTTTAAATAAATATCTCTTTATAAAACGTCAATAAGAGAAAATTATAACTCAGTCTTCTTGTGCTGTAAATCATTTGGAAGCTTGTCACTGGCGCATCTAAATCCCAGATTTGCTGCAGAACTATCTGGCGTGTTTTGACTGCGAGCTGCACATCTGTAGCGATAACAGTAGGACTGGAAATAGATCAGAAAGTTGTGTTAAAGTCATTTTATTTGGTTGCGTAAATGAAAGATATTAGCGTCAGCAAAATAATTGAATGTGTCTTCAGCAGTTTTCTTCTTCACGTTCACCAGCTGTAAACTCAGCCGGAATGTTCTGGTTGTTTTTCAACTTCTGGACTTTAGTCTCGTTCCAGGACTTGAGGTTTGCCTGCACATCCTTTTTAACTTTGTATACTGTTGGTTCCTAGCCTCTCAGGCAGATGAACTCTGAAAATAATAACCCTAATAAATCCCCTTACAACATGCTTGTTGTGGAGGCAGTGGGTCTATTCTTGTTCTCCCCACAATGGGGCCCCGGAACCCACACGGGGAGAGCAGCAGGTCTATTATTTCCTCTTCCCTAAAATGGGGCCCTGGAACTCGCACAGGGTTGCCTGCTTCCATACTTCCACTGTACTAGTTATCTGAGTTCTTATCACTATTCCCTAAAGCCATAGCTTCCAGAAAATCTTTCACCAATCAGGTCGATTGTCCGCAACTCTCTCCTGCACACACCAGGACTAGCTCTACATAACACTTAAAAAACCCCCCATGTTGATCCCAGGACCCACTGTAAAGGGGTGGGGTGGAGAGAAACAGACCCACCATCCCCATTAGCATATCATAAAAGTTGACTAATTAAGGGTGTTTCGTTTGAAGTCAGAGTGGATCTGAGTGAGAGTTGGGGAACCAACAGTCTGCACACACCTACAAAACTAAGGTTTTGGAACAAGATGAAAGTCCAGAAATTGGGCAATAAACTTTCCGCCGGAGTTAACAGCCGGTAAATGTGAAGAAAAAGTTAAAGACCTATAAAACTGTCTTGGAACTTGAATGATTTTAGAATTCAATCACTGTCTCGGGATTGACAGTGTTTGAATTATAAGGTACCATTGTATAAGCAGGGACTCACCTGAACATGTAACAACAACACACGAGTGATTATTCCCAATGCTATATATGCATACTTTGTATCTTACCTTATGACACTGAAATGATCCACCCTTTTTAACCTTGTCAACACCAGTTGCTGGGCCTTTCTGTTGATTCATAGAGAGAATAACATCTGAGAGAGTGAGCTAAGACAGTTAAAATAACATCTGAGTGAGTGAGCTAGGACAGTTAAAATAACATCTAAGAGAGGGAGCTAGAACAGTTAAAATAACATCTGAGAGAGTGAGCTAAAACAGTTAAAATAACATCTGAGAAAGGAGAGAGTGAGTTAGGACAGTATAAGTAACATCTAAGAGAGTCGGCTAGGACGGCTAGGACAGTTAAAATAACATCTAAGAGAGGGATCTAGAACAGTTAAAATAACATCTGAGAGAGTGAACTAGAACACTTAAAATAACATCTGAGAGAGTGAGCTAAAACAGTTAAAATAACATCTGAGAGAGTGAGCTAGGACAGTTAAAATAACACCCAAGAGAGTGAGCTAAGACAGTTAAAATAACATCTAAGAGAGAGAGCTAGGACAGTAAAAATAACATCTGAGAGAGTGAGCTAGGACAGTTAAAATAACATCTGAGAGAGTGAGCTAGGACAGTTAAAATAACATCTGAGAGAGTCAGCTAGGACAGTTAAAATAACATCTGAGAGAGTCAGCTAGGACAGTTAAAATAACATCTGAGAGAGTAAGCTAGGACAGTTAAAATAACATCTGAGAGAGTGAGCTAGGACAGTTGCCATCTTTGAGGCATCAAACAGCAACTGGAACATGTAAAAGGACCCTTTTCCATGCCTACAGGTGTGTTAGGGCATACAGGGCTAGACCTATATTTTATAGACCAATCATGCCACCCAACTTTATTTCCCCAGACTTTGCCTAGTACCCATTTAATGCTGGGTCGACTTGGGAGCCAATGTCATTTTTTTAAAGAGTCAGGTTTCGAAACTGGAATATGTAGCTTGACAAAATGACTAACAGGACAACTGTCAAGTTGATATATTTATTACACAATGTTACAGAAATTTTACAGCAGAACATCTGAGAGGAGGGCAAAAGGAAGAGCAAGAAAGAAACGGGTAAGTGGTGTAGTAGAAACCTGCAAAAAGATGAACAAATCCAACACCAAAGCCACCCGGGAAGCGCTAGACAAGTACAGAAAACCATGACACTGGGCTACAACCTGGTATCAGTGAGACGACAAAACCATGACAATGGGCTACAACCATGTGTGCCATGATAAGGCTGTTTTTTTTGTCTTTTCTTAGGCAGTATTTAACTATCATGTACAGGAGAACGGTTCGTATTTCATGGACGTTAAAATAATCAAATACAGAGTTACTGAAAGAAATAAAAAACAGATCTTCTTCTCCAAGTCCATGCTGTGTGGTGTTGGTAGTCATGTCTATTCACAACCTTCTTTCTTGTGTACTTTTAATCAACTATGACACAGATTATCTTCCATGCCATGATGTCAAACTGCCCTACAGCCTGGTAAAAGTGAGATGACAAAACCTTCACCTCTGCTACAACCTGGTAAAAGTGAGATGTCAAAACCATGTACTCCGTTTACAACCTTCTATCAGTGAGATGACAAAACCATGTACACTGGGCTCTTTCGTGCCATGATGTAGGCAATCAGTTCTCTTTGTGAGTCAGCTTTTTTTCAAGCCATCCTCATTACTCATTTTATCTGTCTAGGATATTCACATCATCAAATACAGAACCACACACAGGAAATTTAAAAAAAAACAGATATTTTGGCTCCATTCAAAAGTCATAAAACTGCATACTGGAGGAAAAAGTCAGCAAGCTGCAGACAGTGATATTTTAATCAACTGGGACATAGATGAGCATCCAGCCATGATGGGCAAAACTGCAGCATCTGTTCAAAAAGTCTGCATCCAGGGCAAAAGACTAGAGTCACGATGAGAGATCAGTTTCATCCTTCTCATGTGGATGATGGCAAAGATGTACCGATTTAATCGCAGCAGTGATATGGGCCTTGTCAATAATCTCTGTAATCGTTTAATTCATAGAAAGTTCATAACTCTGATCCACTAGGGTAGTATTTCCTATGTACAACCACTTGCAATAGTATCCACCAAGGTAATTCAAAAGTCATAATAGACTGGACCCAAAGTCAGCAAGCTGTGGGATTAAGGGGCCCATAGCTTTTTTGGGCAAACAGGTCCCAAAAGTGTACATCCAGGGGGGAAGGACCAGTATTTGTGGATCCTCTAAGCAAGTCTTTCGAGGATCTGCCAACTAGGCGATTTAATCCAACAATAACTGCATATGAAAAAGCCAGATCTTTAATGATACAAAGTTCATTTCTAATCCACCACTTGACTAGTATTTCCTATGTCCTTTCCTTGTAATAGTATCCACTAAGTCCAGAAGTTATATGATCAATGCTAGATCTTTCTGCAGTTAGCTGTCCAGCTTTTGGTGAACACGAAGGGGGGTAGTAGGTAGGGGGGGGGGCCATTGTAGCCAATCTCCGTTATCGAGAAAATGTCTTCTTATTTTGACAACAACAACCACTCAGCCTCTGTATAAAGTAAAGGTTGAATGTTGAATTAAGATTGTGGACATGCATGATCTTCAGCAGCAACGAAGAGTTCCAATTCTGATGGCACCAGTAACCGTCTGATTGTATATCCATCTCATCCTCTCCCTGAGTGTTAAACATTGGCCAGATCCCTCTGGTTTGAAGTAAAGGTAAAGTAAAGTATCCCTTTTCTATGCCTTCAGGGTGTATTGGGCATATAGGGCTAGACCCATATTTTATAGACCAATCGGCACTTAGTGAGTGATGTAGTCAACATCAAGCCTGCACTCTTTACTTCCTAGGATTGTACCTGGTACCCATTCAAGGCTGGGTCGACCAGGGAGCGAAGGTCACTTTTGAAAAAAAAAAGTCCGGCTTCATCAGGAACTCAAACCAACAACTTTCTGATTCGTAGGCGAGCGAGCGTCTAGCCGAAACACCATGGTGGCTCCCAGTTCTGTGTAAGCACTAAGACATCCCTCTACAGAGACCCACAAATAATGCACCTGTTGTAGAAGGAAAACACACATACATTCACATCCAGTCCTGGGTAGTTAGCGTTCTTTGGATATTTTCATCAGGTTAAGCAGGAGTGTTGAGAAATAAACAGGCAGATAGACTGGCTGGTTATGCACCAATCGATGGTGGATTTGTTCATGACATGCTAGATTTAGTCAATGTCTTGTGGGAGCAAGTGAAATAGTGCAAGGGCACAAACAGTTTATTAGGGTCTGGAGAGAATGGTACAGCTAGGAGTGACCAGGAAATCTGGTTGACACTTTAAACTCAGAGAGTAGACAAGATAAGCCTACATCAAACTGCTACTGCCACCACTGGAAGTCGCCGTGGCAGAGCGGCTAGATGCTCACCTGCGGATCAGAAGGTCGTGGGTTTCAGTCCATGGCGGAGCCAGACTTTTGTCAAAAATGACCTTGGCTCAAAGACCAACCCAGCCTTGAGTGGGTACTAGGTGCAGTCCTGGGAAGTAAAGACGACCAGTGTGATGCCCACATCACCCCTTTTGTGCCGTTGGTCTATAAAATATAGGTCTAGCCCAATATACCCAATACACCTAAAAGGCGTGTGGAAAAGTGTCCTTTAATTTACTTTTACTGGCACCATAAGATATGGAACTCTTCGCTGGCTGCTAAGATGAGGACAGAGCACTTAAAAGAATGTCCTCAGAGCTATGATGTCAATTCTTAGCTGAACATTCAACACTCATTCACATTCAACTGCTTACTGGATTAGACTTGGCCTCTGGAGAAAATCTGGTCTCCCACCAATCCTGTGTCCATTCCCAAACATTACCAATGATGTTCTTGAGGCCAAACTTGTTCTGTTCAGGGAATGCTGTCACCTGAATCGATGAGATAAGACCAAGAGTTAACAAGAGTATTTTCATTCTTACAGAGACACTAGTAACCAACATTATTATACCAATTCCTTCAGCATACCTGCTACTGCAGGTACCCTTTAAAGTACAGGTATAATTTAATGTTTTGAAAGTGGCCAGGGCTTGAAGACACTTTATCACAAACATTAGAAAGAGACAGTCATCATTTTTGTTGGTCCTGTTATGAGAAGAGGGAAACTGGAACATCTGTGTAGAAAACAGAAACAGGAAGACGAAGATCACAGACAGCCTTTTGTAATGGCATAGATGGGTGTCAGCACGTGAACTGACTAATCTTTTTATTTTTTTGCCTTCTATCCCCCAGTGGGACATAAGCCCACAAACAAGTTTGTTCTATCTGATGTTACTGCATGCAGCTCACCCCATGTCCTCCTTGTCTTTTTAACTTTACTCTCTAGCTCCCTTCCTCATGTGCGTTTTTGGGCTGCTTTTATTTCTCTGCCCCTGTGAGTTCCAGGGCAAAGATATCCGGGTTATTTTGTTTTAGATTTTCTCAATGTGCGGAACTGACACATGATGCTGAAGATAACAGAACACATGATCATTGCAGATTGTGGACAGGCACGATTGTCGCAGATTGTGGAGAGGCATGATTGTCGCAGATTGTGGACAGGCATGATTGTCGCAGATTGTGGAGAGGCATGACTGTCACAGATTGTGGAGAGGCATGATTGTCGCAGACTGTGGAGAGGCATGATCGTCGCAGACTGTGGAGAGGCATGATCATCGCAGACCGGACAGGCATGATCATTGCAGATTGTGGACAGGCATGATTATCGCAGATTGTGTAGAGGCATGATTGTCACAGATTGTGGAGAGGCATGATTATCGCAGATTGTGGGAAGGCATGATCATCGCAGACTGTGGAGAGGCATGATCATTGCAGATTGTGGACAGGCATGATTATTGCAGATTGTGGACAGGCATGATTGTCGCAGATTGTGGACAGGCATGATTGTTGCAGATTGTGGACAGGCATGATTGTTGCAGATTGTGGACAGGCATGACCATTGCAGATTGTGGACAGATATGATCATTCTTGCCAATCAGCAAGGCACTTGATGATAATTTGAAGTGATGTCACCTAGATTCCAGACTAAGATCAACCTGAAAATGTCTTAAAGCCAAAATGCTGCCTCTTTTCTTCTCCGTAATCACAAGAAGACAAGTTTTATTTTATTTATCACAGTATTAAATGAATCATCACGTTTTTTACAATAAGTATGTTCTTTTTTAATCAATTATGTTTCAGCTTGTAATATTTTCATCAGTTTAATTATTTGTTAACTTTTTAGCTTATGTAAAATATTCATTTCTTTATCCTGTTGTGCCATTTTATGTCATATATGGATCAATAGCATGGATGGAAACCAGTCCAGAAGCTTTGGCCTCTCTGTGTGTAAAATATGCTGTTCATAAAATAAAATAAAAAAAGCTGCCTCTCATAAGACAGGGAAGAGGCAGAACAAAGCAGGAACAAGAATATTAATTTTGTAAAGCAGAAATGAAATTATGACTGAGCAAATGGCAGATTTCTTTCTTCCTCTGAGCTTTCCCTAAAAAGGGTGGGTGACAGTTGCAGGTGCAGTGATATCTGCATTTTTTGGCTCAATACATCTTTCAGCAAATTCCCCACTTAGTCACCTCTTATGAAATGCTTATTAGCTGTGAAAGTAAAGTACCCCATTGCATGCCTTCAAAACGTATTAGGCATATAGGGCTAGACCTATATTTTAGACCAATGTACACTAGGTAGGTGATATGGTCAGCATCATGACAGCCGCCTTTACTTCCCAAGACTCCATCTGGTACCCATTCAAAGCTGGGTCAACCTAGGAGCCCAGGTCATTTTTGAAAAAAGTCCACTGCCATCAGGATCTGAACCTACGACCTTCCGATCCTTAAGTGAGCGTCTAGCCACTACACTACGATGGCTCTCAATGTACTGTAGTCGACTAATTGTACATTAATACTGTTGTTTTTTGTTTGTGTTCACTGGCTGTAAAACCTAGCAGAAAGACCTGGTTGTTCGTCCATTCCTGGACTCTGGCTCTGTTCCAGGACCTGAGTTTTGCGTGTGCATCCGTTTTACAGATCTTGCTTATTTGTATGCAGACTATTGGTTCCTTGCTTCTCAAGCATTCTTTTTCTACTCTTACGACATGCTTGTTCCCCCACAGTGGAGCCCTGGAACCCACATGCGGATGCATTTTCAATATTAACTTGACACACTCATTCTGGAATCTTCTTAAACACAGACCACAACCTACAGGACAAGTGCCTATGTAGCCATCCTCAGCGGTGTTGGAGGCAGGAAATTCCCCTTGCCAAATGTTCATCCAGTGTTCTCCCTTTGGATTCACGCTGTTACCCCAAGGAAATAATCTGCAAGAACCACACACACACACACAAAAATTAAAACACAACAGACGTACCTGAACTCCAGACTAACTTACAGGTGCTTAGTCTCTGTAGATTCTGAAGGGTCTATGTGGATATTGTTCCTGTAGCATGCTGGTTAGGAATATGTCTAAACCAATCGCAATCTAGTTGCTGGTTACTTGTTGCCCATATCATCACCCTAACACTTTGGTTGGACCCATTTATACTATGTCAGCCTATGCAGCAGCCGTCTCAGTGTCTCCATACTCAACATACTCCATACGACTGGCATATCTTTATTCTTTGCCTGTAACAGCTTTTCTGCACGCTTTTCCTCGTAAAATACCTATTTCAAGTTTCTTCAATTGGTTTATCATCTCTGAATCCTTTGTCTCACATCTCTCACATGTAGCACATTCAGTATGTCTGCTCTGTCCATACTTCTTCGTTCACTAACCACTGTGTACACTGCCAATCTGTCGGCTCTTTCACTTCCATTCACCACGGTGTATACACCTTTACAACATGTAATACGGGATCCAAAACGGCAGCAGTCCTGTTTTCTTATTGCATCTACTGCTGTAAGTGTGCACAGGCAATCAAAACTTATATATGATCATAAATATGATCACTTATGTCACCCAAGATCAGGGGTGCCAGAAGCTGGGAGCTCCGGGTGTGGAGACTGAGCTCCTCGACCCTAGAAATTTTGTGAGCATTGTAACTCATTCTGATTTTTGTTCTTGAGTAACACATTCTTCAGGGGAGGGATAGTGCCCCTTCCTCCACCACCCACAATCAGACGGTTACTGGTGCCATCAGAATTGGAACTCCTCACTTGCTGCTGAAGATGGGGATGGAGCACTTATGGGAGTGTCCCGAGTGCTGTGATGTCGATTCCTAATTTAACGTGCAACATTCTACCTTACTTAATCTCAGTGTTTCTTGGAGGCGACTGACTGTCCCTGTATTTACATGGCACACTAATGCGCTGTCCACTATTTGCATTAATGTATTTGTTATATATATCTATATATATATATTATATATATATATATATATATATATATATATAGTATATATATATATATATATATATATATATTTAACTGTACATGTATGTCTATATTTGTGTGTGGGGTTGTGTTTAGTGAATGCCTGCTGGTTCTCCAAGAACCCTCACTAGGTACTATAGTACCGGTCCAAGCCACCTGTTTTGGTGCAATAAACATTTCACAGCCAACACAAACAGCACAAAGAAACTAGACCACAATTAAAACCTATACTGCTTGCAGTAGGTTGAAAGTGGTAGATATTTTTTTTTAATAAATGAATTGAATGAAAGAAACCAGACCACAATTATAACTAATACTGCTGGCAGTAGACTAAACATGGTTTTTTTTTTTTTACCCCATTTATAACCCATACTGAATATGGTTGATTTTTTGTTTTGTTTATCATAAATGGATGGATGGAAGCACAGACTGGACAGAAAAGCCATCATAACTATAAAAATGGAAAAGACCTTTTTTTTAATGCTAGTGTTGTTTCGCGCAAAGGATGCTAGCCAATGACAACATAGGAGTCAAATTTCAGCTCTAGTAAGTGTGAACTCCTTCTTATCCAAACAACGCACCATGTGAGAAAAGCTACAGACTCACAGTGTCAAGAAATGCATTGTGGTGTTAACATACAACACACTTTTGGTCTGAATGTACTAAAGAAATCTGGCATCAGTATTTGCTTCTTTGAAAGTAAAATATAATGTTTTCCTTATTAGTTTAAACCCGCCCTGGACAATCTACAGAAAATCTTGCTGGACTAAAAGAGTTAAGTCTCTCTCTCTCTCACGTGTGTGTATGCGTGTGTGCATTCATGCATAGTGCGTGCATGCATGCGTGGGTGCGTGCGTTTTTTTAAAAAAACTACATGTCATCAAAAACCCATGAACTTACCTATCATCTTTCCCTCCTCGGCATGCGTATTCAAATTCTGCTTCTGTTGGTAACCTTTTCCCAGCCCATTTGCAGTACTCAACTGCATCATTCCAAGACACATGAGTGACAGGATGGTTCATTCTATTATATGAATATAGCAAAGAGACAAAATACTTCAATCCAGCATGTCGTGCTAACAATTAGTATCTTTTTCTTCTTTTTAACATTCACCTTCTGTAAATCTGACAAAAAAGTCCTGGCTGTTCGTCCACTTCTGGACTTTAAAGTTGAATGTTGAATTAACAATATACATTAAAACACTCAGGACACTCCCATAAGTGCTCTGTCCCAATCTTCAGCAGCAAATGAGGAGTTCCAATTCTGATGGCACCAGTAACCGTCTGATTGTATATCCGTCTCATCCTTCCCATTGAGTGTTGAGCATCGGCCAGATCTCCTAGTAACACCTTGCAGCACCATTCTCCTAAGACCATAATGACCTATCTGCGCCTCCGCACTGCTGTTCACTCGTTTCAAAAAGCCCTCACAATATCTAGCTTGTCATACATCAATTCACCACCAAGTAGTGCAGAGCCGGCCAGCCTATCTGCCTGCTCATTTCCCAAACACCTGCATGACCCAGAGAAAATATCCAAAGGACTTTTTTTTTGTACATTTATTTAACAGATCTGGCTATTTGTGGGCAGACTGTTGGTTCCTCACCTCTCAGGCTGCTGCACTCTGACTTCAAAGGAAACAATCCCAATGAGTTGCCTTACGCAACATGCACTCAAAAGTCAATTGTAACTGATTTTATTTGTGATCTGTCTGTCTGTCTCTCTCTCTCTCTCACTCTCTCTCACTCTCTGTGTGTGTGAGTTGAGCAGAGTCAAGAATTGACATCACAGCACTCGGGTATTCCCATGCATGCTCCATCCTCATCTTCGGCAGCCAGTGCAGATTTCAAATACTGATGGTACCGGTCACAATCTGGTTAAAAGTCTGTCTTGTCTTTCCTCTGAGTGTAGTAAGCCGGCCAGACCCTCTGGTTACACCCAGGTGCCTCATTCTCTCCAGGCCATAATAATCTTCTTTCTCTACTGATTCCGTTGCTTGTTCCCAAAGGGCCTTGACCACATCTGCCTTGTCATGTATCAATTCACCACCCAGTGGTGCGGATCCAGCCAATCTGTCTGCCTGTTCATTACCCACCATGCTGTCATAGCCTGGAGAAAAAGATCCAAAGTATGCTCACCACCCGTGCATGTGTGTGTGTGTGTCTTTGTGCGTGTGTGTGCTAGCATGTGTTTTGTTTTCTTTTTTTGTTTGTTTTCATTTTAGCAAAGAAGGGATTAAACAGGATCATTTGTGTAGCATGTGGAGAGTATTTTTTATTTAAGAACCAGGGCTGATATTTTTTCCCACACCTGAGAAGTAGTCGAGAGAGGGAGAGAGTGAGACAGAGACAGCAAGTGAGTACCTGCATACTCTCTCTCTATCTATCTGTAGTAATATAAAGACATAAAGATATCTAAATATTTGTCCCCTGCCTAATAACTGCAGAGTACTACTGTTGCTACTCATAGCAGCAACATGAAAGACTAATATGTACCTGTTTTTAATATCTGAATCAGGGCCTTCGGGATGGCGCCAGTCAGCACCTTCCACAGGCAGCCACCAGGGTGCTGCGGCCACCTATAAAAGATGCAAAATGTTATATGGATATATTAACAAATGTTTTAGCTTTTCCTTCAGAAAAATGTACATAACTGTATTTTTCTGTGTAATAAGCTACCCTCATGCATAAGATTTCGGGGTCTGTGGCTAAGGCGTTGCAAATGAGCTTTGTAATGTCGGGGTGTTCAGGTTTGTTCCCAGCTGCGGGCCTTGCATTTGCGATGTTTCAACAGTAGTTTCAAGAAGAAGACTGTGCAGAAAGCAATGGCAAACTACTGTAAATCTACCTAGAAAAACCACAACAGCCAAAAAATGCTGGGGTTGGTTCTGCAACGCCCTGTAAAGGAAACACAGCTAACTTTTAACTTAACATGCATAAGACGATCGTTATTTTGTTTTAAAGCCCTAAATTTCGAGATAAATATTTTAAACACATTCCATGTATAAGACAACACCCAATTTTACACTTTATAAATTGAGGAACATATATCGTCTTACATATGGAAAAATATGGTATATGAATACACATAAAAGTACAGTAACTAAAACCTCATTTTTCCTTGGTAAATGTAGCCGTGGTAGTGTAGTGGCTAGATACCTGAATGCCGGCCAAAAGGTCTTGGGTTGCATAGTGAAAGAAGTTGAACCACCATGCTTAGAACTGCCAGAGCAACCATAGCGTGTATTCCGAATGTGAGGAAGGAGGACTGAGAGGTATTTAGTGTGAACAAGAGGATACTCCAAGTTGATGTCTGAACAATGTCATATGATAATGCTGGACTTGCTAGTTCACAGTGGACACTGACTGGACAAATGGTATGTGAAATTGAAATAAAGTATATTATTGAGATATCGTCTTCTCGTACCACCTGTGTCTACTTACAGTGTCAATCATGTCTTCAATAAGAACAAACCCTTAGAAACCAGCTAAGCGACAGAGGAGACAATATCACAAGTTGGGTCAGATGAAGAATCAGGGTCCGAACAGTTTGAGGGAAATTCAGTTGAAATTTGTAATATTGATGAAAATTGTTTTGTTTGTGCAGAATTTCAGGAAGAAGGGAATCTACCTTGTGGTCATCATGTCATAGTGCACAATGCTAATATGTCAGCACATGGACAAAGTAGTATAAAACTACAAAAAGGCATGGTTCATAGGTGAATGGTCTTTCATCCTAAGAGAAACTGGGGAGATTCCCAGGTTGACTCAGCCTCAAATAAGAATCAGGTAATGTTCTGGGAAGAAAAGGCAGCCAGTAAGATGCTATTTCACCCACTGACTATTGGTCTATAAAATATGGGTCTAGCATCATATACTCTATCGGCCACTGGCATAAAAAGGAAAAGGATTCTTTACTTTCTGCTTACTTTTACTGGTAAGATGTATGAGTTATAGGTTAGATTATCTTCACAGCTCTCTGGACACATTCTTAGGCGCTTAGATTCCCCTCTCAACATATTCATCAGCGTCATGCAGTTAATAGTGCCAGTCCTAAGTTGGTTAACAAGACTTTGTGTGTGTCCGGTGTGCTTTTCATCCGTGGCTGTGCCGATCTTTACTCCCAATTCTGGTATTCTTAGAAGTGATGTGGACACGTTGCTTCCAAAATCCTCAGAACATCTTCACGTTGCTTCCAAAATCCTCAGAGCATCCCATCTCTCTAAGGGTAATGACAATGTCTGCGTGATCCATGGGCCAGCCATCTTTAATTAATGCAGCACCTGCCAGTCTATCAGCTCTTTCATTACCAACAATGCCTGCATGCCATGGGAAGATGTTAGTAAAAGCAGAAGGTAATGGATCCATTTCCAACCTCTGATGTGTATTAGATGTATGGTACATGTCCCCATTTTTAAAGACTGGTTAGCAAGTAAGGTGGGTGATATGGTCACAAGCGAAGTATCTGACATGGCCACAACCACCTTTATAACCAAGAAATTTCCTGGAATCTTTTTCAGGCCAGATCTAGGAGCCACTTTGTGAGTTTGTGTGCCTCAGCCTGAGGATTTAGGGCAGAATGGCTTGTGCAGTCGCCATGAACTGTGCAGGTGAGGATTTTATTTTTACAGAGAAACCCAGAGGATTCAAACCTAGATGTCTTGTGTGAAAGCCTGTCATCCTCAACTATTTGGCCAGCTGCTCATCCTTGATTTAATGAGACTACAGATATCTGGCCACAACCGTGGCTACATACAGTGTGAATTTATCGTCTCAGATCTAAATGCACTCAGGATTTCTCACAACTGTTATCTGGCTGCTTGGGTGTCCGCTGGGAGCCTGTGACTGAAAAAAAAGTGACTGAAATCAAGGGGACATCACTATAGTTACTTGCTGGCAGCCTGTGACTAAAAACAAAAAAATTTAGTGACTGAAATCAAGGGGACATCAATGTAGTTACCACTGTCTCACTAACAAAACTATACAAGAGCTGTGACACTTACCATCTGAGTTATCTTCTCCTTAGTTTTCTCACTAATGTACATATCCATTACAAATGAATTTCCAAATTTCTCAGCCTAAAAAAAGGAAACAAGGTCAAATTAATTTTTTTTCTACAGCAAAAACATAGCCAGGTTTGAGATTTGAAGTTTGAAAAACGGATCAACATCATGGCACATAACCTGCTCATCATGGCACATAAGTGCTCCATTCTTCTAACTCAAGTCTGAGTCCAAAGAAGCTCAGCACAGTGCACAAGCTCTGGCACACTGGCGAGGATCCTGAAATTCTTTGGGTAGATTTTTAACTCCAAATTTTGCCCAGGCAGCGCCATTTAGCCATTCCCAATGCATATAAAAGTAAACAAATTTGTAACACATTTTCTTTGTGACATAGTCACATAAATGTTTGGCAAAAGGGTTTCAACAGGACCATTTGTGTAGCATGTAACTGAGGTGCTAGGTAGCTTTAGTAATTTTTCCAAAATATTCTGTTTAATCCTCAATATTCAAACAGGGATACCTTGTGTTTTTTAAGTTCCTGGAGTATATATTTGTTATTTTATATTTATACTGATTGGCACTTTTCTGTCTGCTAGACGACAGTGTAATATTGCGCTATGAGGAGCCCATGGCGATAGCGAGTGTGACTAGCAAGACCCGCCCGCATTAAGAAAAGTCTTCCACAATTATAGCATGAGATTTCAGGACCATTGTTGTCAACATTTGTGTTTAGTCTGTTTCCTCTCAGACGCTCAGCTCTCATCCCTTCTATAATCATTTCTGCCTTCATTCTCATTCCCTTTTTGATGTGTCCCCTCTACACAAAATGGTTCATGGCATTTTGTTTCCATTAACAATATATATTGTTCTGTATATTGTGTAATTATTTATATGACCTATACATTATGAGCTAGTGCTAATTTTATTCAAACCTAGGAACTTCATAAATGAATGAATGAATTAAGAACTGACATCCCTGCACTCGGGACATTCCCATACATGCACCGTCTCCTTCTGCAGTAGCCAACAAAGAGTGGATATGCTAACAGTATTTCCCCGTGTGGGTCCTGGGCCCTATCATAGGGAAAACAAGAATAGACCCACTGCCTACCCAAAAGCATTTCATAAGAGTCAACTAATTGGGAGCTTCCTTCGAAGTCGGAGTGCTTCTGCCTGAGAGGCAGGAAACCAGCAGCCTGCATACACATGAGTAAGATCTGTAAAATGGATGCACACGCAACACTCAGGTTCTGGAACACAACTGCAGTCCAAAAGTGGATGAACAACCAGAATTTTCCACCATAATTTAAAAAATATACATTTCAACATTTTCTTCTAATAGCTGAAAATAGTGCCTACGATTTCCTTCAAATAATGTCAATTTATGTGTTCTTGTACCAGAAACTTTGTGGTTATGATGTATAAACTAATATTATATTTTTTATAAATTTTAGGCTACTTTCCGAATAACGGTTCCAAAATATCGAGGCTGAAAATATACCCTAACAGGGCCTCAGTCACATATCAATTACGGACTTCCTGGGACTATACCGCCGCCGTCAAATTGCGAACTTCCAGGGACTATACCGCCACGAGTATCTCCCCCGCCACTACGCGCGCCGTGGATTGGGGCTAAACTTGATGGCTGGTACCCACAAGCAAATAAAATAAGGAAGCTGCAGGAGATGCGGTAGCTGCTGTTCGTGAGTCCCAGCCATCTAGTTTAGCCCTAATCGACGCCGTGCATAGCGCCGTGGGAGATACTCTAGACGGTGGCGGAAGTCGCTGGAAGTGCACAATTTAAGTCGACAGAAGTTTGCAATTGACATGTGACTGAAGCCCTGTTAGGGTATATTTTCGGCCTCGATAATTTGGGACCGTTATTCTGAAGATAGCCACATTTTATATTGGATATTTATTGATATATGACTACACTATAATGTTGTGTCAAAATGCTACTATTTTTAGGTGTATAATAGCCATATCCTCCTTAATAACTTATGAAGAAAATAAATGTGTAACTTACCTCTGTTTTGTAACTTTTTGCTGTAACAAATCTGTCAAATTCAGCATTGCTGACTTCATATCTATCCATGTAAAAAGAATGAACGGTCACTTGTCGAGCTGGCATTTCACCGTCAGCAACAAAAACGGGCTCGTTTGTGCCCATAGTGAAAGTACCTCCAGGAATGTAAACCATCTCATCAGTTCTGGGATTTGCATTTAGATTATCATCTTTAATAGTGGTTTCATCGTCAGCGTTATCTAAATCTTCGTCCAGGTCTAATACTAGCGATTTCGTTGTTATGGAATGTAAACAATTAAACCGGAAATGGATTTGCTTGGTAACCCAAGGGACTTCCTGTCCCTGAATTTTAAGGGTTTCCATACTAGTCACTATAAAAACCCGAGTTACTCAATACTGGCTGTTCAGAAACGAATCCGAACACGCGCGATACCTGTAGCAGATGTCAGACTGCTGAATAGCATGTGTTTTTAGAAAAGACGTTTACTCACTAAAAAGTATTTTGTAATTTGGATTAGGGCTAGTAAATTCTTTAATATCTTTTTTTTAGGCTTTCCATAATCTCCATTGTGGTAATATTGAACTCTGCGTCCATTTTTACATACAGATGTAAAATTTCAGTTAAATATGTTCTTTAATAGTTTCAGAATTAAATTTTTTCTGCATCCAGTCTTGTAAAATTTAGTTGAATTAGTTAGGTTAAAACAAAATGGCGGACGGCGTGAATACAAAAGCGTGTCTGTTATATATTGACAATGCTTATAATAGGAGCAAATTAATGTTCAGATAATACAATTTTAAGTTGAAATAGTAATTTATCTTTGTATGTTTATTACTTTTTCTAAATTTTATTAGCTTACAAAATGATAATGATCAGTTTTCTGACACACCCTAATGGCTGAATAATTTCTTCAGATTTTTGCTTGGAAACTGAACACAGATTATTAATATTTTTTCTTTGAGGCTGTCCATCATCTCTATTGTGGTATCATTAAACTCAGCGTCCATTTTTACATCCAGGTGTAAAATTTCAATTAGATATGTTCTTTAATAGTTTCAGAATTAAATTTTTTCTGCATCCAGTCTTGTAAAATTTAGTTGAATTAGTTAGGTTAAAACAAAATGGCGGACGGCGTGAATACAAAAACGTGTCTGTTATATATTGACAATGCTTATAATAGGAGCAAATTAATGTTCAGATAATGCAATTTTAAGTTAAAATAGTAATTTATCTTTGTAGTTTTATTACTTTTACTAAATTTAATTAGCTGAATATATTATTTTGATGATTTTCTGACACGCTAGAAAATGGCTAAATAATTTTTTCAGGTTTTTGCTTTGCAAATGAACAGACAGTGCACTCACTAATCAAACAAAATAATGAAATTCACTGAATGCCATCGTGCTAATGTTGTATTTTTTTTAATCTACAACCTTTTTAACTTTTTCTAATGCATAAATTATAATTTAATATGAGTAATTGTTTTTTGTATGTATTTTTTATCTTTTGACCCTCACATACAGAATTTCACGCAACATGCCTGGACTTCTTGATATTGCGTATAATTATAACAATCATAACTATTTTATATTTTATTAATTTTTTATATAAATAAAATAATAATATTACAAAAACTATTTCATTATAATATAATATTTAATATATGTATATAAATATTTATAATATTATTAGTCTTTTATTTAACATTGTTTCTGTTTAACTTGATTTTTAGATTTTGATCGAGCAGTCACAATGACAGTGGCAAAAAGGACAGCAGCATATCTTAGATCACATCTGTCAGTCTTTGAGATAATATTTACTGGCCAGCAAAAAGATCACATGAGTCATAGATACGCTAATAAAGTGTCGGGTATGAGTGAATACTTTAGATTATTTTGAAAAAGTAAATAAAGTATTAAGTAGCGACTGGTTAAGAAGAGGGGACACTGTGGTGAAATGCGCTCATCATCAATGAAATGAAAGAATAACTCGCAAAGACTGAAAAAAGGATTATGTTAAACCAGTAAGAAGGGTGCATATTTTCACTTCGTTATCAAACAATATGGGGGTCTCCGTAGCAAAGTGGTCAAGCCGTTAACCTCGCGCTTGGAAGGTTACGGTGTGTCCATTTTACAACTGCATTGTTCGACTCAAAAATGACATTATTTTGGGTTAGCGGGGACCTCTGAGGACTGTTGCTGGAGCTACGGTATTCAGGCTTCGTGCTAAGCTCTCGGCATGCGACTAACCATTCACGGTTATGTGAAGAAAGACCAAGCCATATGAAACCAGTAACGATGCAATGACGTCAATCCGCTCGCTATCAAACATTTTTTAACAGTGGAGTAATAAAGCAAAGCCAATTTCGGCCAGATGTGCACACACACACACACACACACACACAAAAGTGACAGTGCAAGAAAAAGCATTTTTTAACAAATAGAAAGAGATACATCATAACACAGAGAATCGTTACAAAAGTATGCATATTACAGTATACGTTTTGCAAGACTAACTGGATAATAATAATTCATAAGGTATTTAATTAATAATACTGATAATTTGACCCATTTTTCTTTGTTAATTAGATTTGCATTACATTATATTTTTTAAAAACCAACAACTTTAGTTAGAGCTTGCTGCCCTGAATGCAATGATATATGGTTGCTAAGGGGTTCAGCAAAAAACATAAGACGTGTAGACATAAAACATACAAATTTTGTCACTTTAAGTCCAGTTTTCACTTGGGAACAGGCCGCCATCTTGTTTCTGTTTTTTCCATTATAATTTTTGGGAGCACTTTCCGTCACTAAAATGTGAATATCTCCGCTTAGAACTGACATACAGACTTCATTGAGGTACCGTTGAACTCTGTTTTTTAACCTCTAAGCAGCTATCATGGTTTAAAAGCAAAAGGCCCAAAAAATAAATTTTGACTAAACACCCTACTAATACGTGCCCGTCGTCATCGACATCATATTCATCACCTGATTTTGAATTTAATGTCGGGGTATTTTCTTCAGTCAGGCTATTATCTGCAGATGAAGACTGGCGACTAATTTTGCAACCACAACTTGCGTCTGGTGCATCTAAATGTTCTGGTTTAACAGAACATTTCTCAATGTTGTCTTCATTTCCCAAACATCCAGTATGTAATATCAGCAGAATGCAGACACACGCAAGCAGACGAGGAATCGCCATGACCTTTGTGCCACCAAGACTATCAATAACTTTACGAGCAGGAGATCTCCTTTAAGGTGTTGGTTTCTTTTCACCTTCTTATCTTCTTCGTTGCGTTCACTGTTGGGTACGCAGTGGGTCTATTCTTGTTTTCCCTATAATAGGGCCCTGAGTGAGTGAGTGACTTTCTACCCCACTAGGACATCACACAAGCGATAAACACCCGATGACACAAAGTGCCACCATGTGGATGAGGATCACTGTGGAGAGGTCCCAGAAACCGCGTTCAGACATTTGGCCATTTTTATGGCCTGCCTATATTGCGGCCCCTGGCAAAAACCAGAGTGGGGTAATAGGGCCCTGGAACCCAGGATTTAAATACATAATAAAGATCGCAACTATAGAAACCAGCTACAAATAGCTGAAACGTCTGAACGAGATCGAATTATCTTTTGTTTCACAAGAAGCAAGCAGGATTTAAACAACCTGTTCATGTGCCAAACGATGCTGGCGATTATATTCCTCCACAAACACACGTCTCTTGTACTCTCCATAAATTCCATTTCTGATTGTTTTCTGTGCCACTCTGGAAATTTTCTTTTACGTTCACCAGCTCTAAGCAACATGGGAAAGTCCTGGTTTTAGCACTGTGCGAAAAACTTAGGCCAGAACCACGGACAAGCAAGCCAGAGAAGGCAAATGTAGCCCTAACGGTACCAGAGATCACTTCAAAAGATGCGCAGACGGAGACACATCAGAGAACCCTGGCTCTTGCTATGCTTGATGAGAAGTATCCAAACACCACTTTGACTCAGGTTTTCACCGACGGCTCTGCTACAGAAGCAGCCAGATAGGGGGTTGTGGAATATACATTAAACCCCCTAGCAGTAGAGCAGAAACTCTCTCTCTCTCTCTCTCTCTCTCTCTCTCTCTCTCTCTCTCTCTCTCTCTCTCTCTCTCTCTCTCTCTCTACCAGCAGGTGACATCTGCACTAACTTCAGAGCTGAGGCAACTGCCCTCCTTTCTGCAGTCCAACATCTCATCAATCAAGAACACAGAGGGCACCAAATTGTTATACTTAGTGACTCATTGTCTGTTCTCAAAGCACTATCAAGCAAAAATCAAGACAAACTAATTGCAGATCTAAGGACTAACATTGGCTTACTCTCCAAGGAAGCAGAACTGATCTTGCAGTGGATACCAGCCCACTGTGGTATTCAAGGAAATGAGAGAGCAGATGAGTTGGCAAAAGCTGGGAGTAATCTTCCACAACCTCATCCACCACACAGCTACAAGGAACCCAAAGCAGCGCTAAAGCAGTCTTTCAAGCGGAAGTGGCGAAGGCAGAATGGAGATTACAGGCCAGAGAGTGACAGCATAAACTAACTCAACAGGAAAGAACAAACAACAATTTTTAGACTTCGAGCACACCTGTACAGGATAGGCATAAAAGAATCTGCTGCCTGTGATTGTGGAGCAGAACGACAGACCCCTGGGCACATACTACAGCACTACCCTAACCTCTCCCAGCAAAGACTGTGGATCTGGCCCAAGGGAGCCACATTGAAAGAGAAGCTATGCGGGACCGGTGGCGGCCTTAAATGCACAATCCTATTTGTGACCCAGACGGGACTCAATGTCTAGCATGACTGATGTCGAACGCAGAAGAAGAAGAAGAAGAAGAAGAAGAAGAAGAAGAAGAAGAAGAAGAAGAAGAAGAAGAAGAAGAAGAAGAAGAAGAAGAAGAAGAAGAAGAAGAAGAAGAAGAAGAAGAAGAAGAAGAAGAAGAAGAAGAAAAAGAAGAAGAAGAAGAAGAAGAAGAAGAAGAAGAAGAAGAAGAAGAAGAAGAAGAAGAAGAAGAAGAAGAAGAAGGTTGTTCGTTCATTTCTAGACTTTGGCTGTTGAATTAAGAATCGACATCACAAAACTTGGGACACTCTTATAAGTGCTCATTCCCCCATCTTTAGCAGCCAGCGAAGAGTTCCAATTCCGATAATCCCAGTAACCATCTGATTGTATATCCTTCCACTGAGTGTTTGAGCGTCGGCCAGACCCCTTGGTAACTGCTCGCAGCGCCATTCTCCTTAGACCGTAATGCTCTATCTGATCCTCCGCACTGTTTACTCGCTCCCAAAGGGCTCTCACAATATTTTACTTGTCATACATCAATTCACCAGTATGTAGTGCAGAGCGAGACAATATATCTTCCAGCTCATTTCCCAACACATCGGCATGACCTGGATCTAGACTGACTTTCTTCGAGAACATGAGTTCTACGTGTGCACCCGTTTTACAGATCTGACTTTACTGTATACAGAATGCAGGTTCCTTGCCTCTTAGGCAGAGGCACTCTGACTTCGAAGGAATCCTCTAGTCAGTCGACCCCTATAACATGCTTGTTAGAGAGGCAGTGGGTCTATTCTTGTCCCCCCACACCCTCCCCCACGAGGCCCGAAATCTGAATAATCGGGGGGGGGGGGGGGGGGGGGGATACATTCACCCTTTTTTATGTTACCATTGTCTCTGACATCTTTGATCTGCCTGGTTTTCAGAACACCGTCCAGATCCTCTCGACTAACAACGTTATCTACTCAAACAGATGCCATACACAGTACGAACATTACTACAACAGATCTACAACGGAGTCTGTCCTTCGCCCTGGATATAGGCCGACACCCTCCCAGACTGTTGTTCGCCCATCTCCTAATTGTAACCTCCCTCTTGGATCACGGTCTACCTCTTTCTCACTTGTCTTTAACGCCACCCGTCCCCTGTATGGTTTTCATAAAATTGTTATCTCTTTAATTATAAACAAAATATTTCACCTTTCTTTTTTTTTAATTTATTTATTTCAACCGCTCTCTTTTCATTCCCAGATTGTTTTTTTTTTCTCCAAAACTCTTTATATGTTTTTGTTTTCTTGGAATGCAACCTAACGCAAATTGAACTAATTTTTTAAATAATAAAAAGGTTTCTTGCAGGCACTCATAAGTGACAATAAAGATAAACAACCTCAAGTAACTCTCTCTCTCTCTCTTTCTTCCGAGCTCCCTCCCTCTCTCTCACTATCTTTCTCGCTCTCTCTCTCTCGCGCGCGTTCTCTCTCTATTTCTCACTCTCTCTGTCCATCTCTTGCTCCTCTCTCTATCTCACTCTCTCTATCTCTTGCTCTATCTCTCTATATATCTTGCCCTGTCTCCTTTTCTCGCTCTCTATCTCTTTCTCCCTCTCCCTCTTTCTCTATCTCTCCCTGTATCTCTATCTCTCCTTCTACCTCTATCTATCACTGTCTCACTCACTCTATCTCTCTCTCTCTCTCTCGCTCACTCTTTATTTCTCGGTATGTATGTGTATATGTCACATACACCCGAGGAAGAACCTTTTATGTATGTTATTTAACCTGCTTTCTCCGTAGGTATTGTGTGCATCGCCAATGGTTCTTAAAGATTAATTAATTAATCATCATCAAGTGCTTTTCCGATTGAGGTGGGCATGCCTCTGCACAATCTGCGATCTGCACTGTGTGTATCAGTTCGTGTGTAAACAGCCCTACATGCCATGTCAACAGGCTGTCAATAATCTTCTCGCGCTTTCTTCCTCTGTCTCTCTTTCCACAAATCATTACAGTGGTCACAACATGTTCCATTTTTCTCTCTTCTCATAACATGAACAAAAAATGATGACTGTTTTCTTCCTGATGTTTGCGATAAGTTGTCTTCGAGCGCCTGCCCTTTTCAAAACCGTTGGGTTATTCTTCTTAGCTGTCCAAGGAATTCTTAAGATTCTTCTGTAAAACAACATCTCTGAAATAAATAAATAAATAAATAAATAAATAAATAAATAAATAAATAAATAAATAAATAAATAAATAAATAAATAAATAAATAAATAAATAAATAAATAAATATCCTTAAATCTTTGATTTTGAATTTTTATAGATGTTTACGAACCATCCTGTTGTAAATAAGGGATTAAACTAAATCACTCGTCCGTCTTTAATCTGCATTTTTTATATAATGGGGGGTGGCGTGGTCTCGAGGCATGGTGTCCGCCTCGAGGGCTAGAGGTTCCGGGTTCAATCCCCGGTGACGGCTGGGATTTTTTCAAGTGGACTTGGACTTCTAGTAATTTCCCCCTGGTCTCTGGGTAGTGAGATCGGACGCCCGTGTGCATTGTTGCGCACGTAAAAAATTCTTTGGCAGTTGCAAATTGAAAAAAAGTAGCCTAACGGCGCTGCCCAAGTAAAACTTGGAGTTAAAAATCTACTCGAAGTATTTTAGGATCCTCGCCGGTGCTACAGAGCCCATGAAATGTGCTGAGCTTCTTCGGACTCAGACTTGAGTTAGAAGAAGAACGGAGAACTCATGGGTTACATCCGTGTGCCGTGATGTTGATCCGTTGTTCAAAACCTCAAAACCTGTTGCCTAATAGTTACAGTTTTCCACATCATATACACTTTCTTGTATTTCTATCAGGTCTTTTTTTTTTTTAGATAAAAAGTGTTTAACGAGTGTTTAACGAAAGGTAACGTGTTCAGAACAAAGTTTCAATTACAGTGGGGCTGAAACAAATGAAGCACAAATAAGGTGCTTGTACTATGTAATATTGCATTATCATTATCAGGTGCCTTGCCGTCTGGCATGAGCGATCAGACCTCTCCACAATCCGCGCTCCTGCAGCATGTATCAGTTCATGTGCTGACACCCTTCAATGTCTTGCAATAAGACTGTCCAGAATTTTATTTCTTTGTTTTCCCCAATCCCGCATTCAACAGATCTTTCCACTGGTCACAACATGTTCCACTTTCCCTCTTCTCTTAACATAGCCGAAAAATGATGACTGTCTCTTTATGATGTCTGTGATAAGTTGTTTTAGGGCTACCGCCTCTTTCCAACCCTCTTTGTTGCTCTTGTTGACTGTCCAAGGTATTTTAAGCATTCTCCTGTAACGTTGCATACCACCAGGAAACAAGAAGCCCTAATGGCGGTGCCTCTTTTTCATTTTATTACTGTTGTTCGTCCATCACGAGTGATGAAGACCACTTTCATCGAAAGTAGTAATGATCGATGATTATGAGTACGAAGGTGACTGATTTATCCAATATGAGCCTGGAAAGTTCTTGAGCAGTGCGGTCAACAGAAGGAAGCCGCAGGAAGTGTGGGATTAGCAGTACATTTCTGTTTAGTCTGCCTCCGTTTCTCTGCTTGTACAACCTCCGCTGCCTGGCAGGCTGATGCGCCATACCTGAGGAACGTCCGCCATCCAGAACGGTTTTGTACAGCATCCTTCAACATCGCTGTGTTGATGCCAAAAGAACTGAGAGCAGACTTAATAGATTACTACCACATTGCGAAGAAGGTATGAGGGTCTTTGGGGCTAACAGGTTAACTAGCACTCCGAGGGTCATCGGTTCTTTTCACGGACTGCCTCGTTTGGTTCCCAGGGGTATGTTAAAAAAAAAGGTTTGTTGGAGATTATTGCTTGAGCAACCGAGTTCGTGCTTTGTATAAAACCCCTGGCGGTGACTAGCGGTTCTGCAAAGAGAGACTAGCTGGTATAGGTACAATCCTGTTAGGAAGTCGATCCTCTGAGGTTTATACTCTCTACATAAGGTATGTTTCTATGATTCACACATTATGCTGATATACTCTATTAATTTTGTGTTTTCCCCCTTACGGGTTTCGGAAAACCTTCGAATGCCAGTTGCAGAATTAGCGCTGCTGCTGCAGCTTCTTCATTTTCTTCTTCTTCTTAACCGGCAGAAAGTTCTTGTTGTTCATTTACTTCTGGACTAGTATTGTTCCAGAGTTTTGCGTGCACATCCTTTTTACAGATCTGGCTTATTTATATAAACACTACTGATGCATTTTATAACAGAACCCATTAATGTCTGATGAACCGGCCTAAGTTTAGTTAAGTCCAGAAGTGGATAAAGTAGATGAAGAATGTTCGGGTCGAGTTTTCTTAGATTTTTTGTGCTTCTGGAATCTGAGCAAACAGTGATACAAGCCAGAGATCTCAGCGTGGGTTCAAGGGCCCCATTTGTGGGGAAAAAAACAAGAATAGACCCACTGTCGCCCTTACAAGTATGTCGTAGGAGTCGACAAATTGCGGGCATCCTTCAAAGTCGTAGTACATCTGCCTGGGAGGCAAGGAACAAATGAATTTGCATACAAATAAGCCACATTTCTCAAACGGATGTGCACGCAACACAGGTTCTGGAAGAAGACTAAAAGTCTGCAGGTGGACAAACACCCAGAACTTTCAAACTAGAGCTTACAGGCAGTGAACGCGAAGAAGAATGAAGTAGAATGCAAGCCAAAGAGACAGCACTCTCGCAGGTACTGACGATGACGCGAGATTCGGAGATAATTTAGGAGGTCACGTGACCGCATCCATCACTGTTGGTGTTATGGCGGTTGTACATCAACTAGCGATGAACGGGGACTTAGCCAACTTCTCCTTGGCTCCCTCTTTACCTGAGGATGCCTGCGTCTCCAGCAATCTTCAGGAGGAGGTAAAAGAATCATGACGATTATTCTGCACTTCACGGCACTGTTTGTTGTGACCTTGTGTGAAGATAACATTACACATTTGGTTTGGAAGCCGACAAAAGGGATTTTTGACTAAATGAAATTAAATAAAAACAGAAAAAAAAGTGTTTTCGTAGCATTTATTTTCTTCTCACTCTGGGCACACTTTGAATAATGAATACTATGAAAAAGAGTTTAAAGACAGGGATATCCCCAGCTACAGTATAACGATGAAGACATTTTTAATTGCTTGTAATTTCTTAGTGACAAATTATACTGAATATCCAATCGATTGCAAAAGTCAAAGAGATGGTCATGGTGTCTGCTGTTTTTTCTTTTGTTTTATACTCTGATTTGAAGAGAATATTGCATTATTCTGAAATGCCTCTGCTAACATCTGTATAAGTTTATGTATAGTTATGTTGATGGCCTAGTTTATTTATAGTTATTTTGTAGCGGAAAATGGTACAGTGCTTACATCTCATACTGAGCAGAAGAAGATTATGAAGATATGGACAGAACACTTTCAAGAAATCTTAAAATTGTCCTAGTTCGCATGTACCAATGAATTTTTATGAAGAGGCTAAAATGACCATAACAGCAAATGTAGGGAAATCAGGGCAGCAATCAGTTCATAAGAAAAATAGTAAGGCTGTAGGTAATCATGGTATTACTGCAGCAGCAGATGATGTAACCATCAACTGAATGAGAAATTTGTTTAATTGAATATGGGCTGAGGAAGAACAAGATCAGTGAAAGAAAGGAATAATTGTAAAAATTTCCCATATGGGCAACGAATGTAAAAACCTTTAAGAACACTGCTATTAAGAGAAACTGTCATCCTCAGTTAATGTCAGCTTATCTTGTGGGACAGGAACCTCCATTGTATAGGGGCAAGTTGCTCGTCTGCTAATCGGAAGGTCATAGGTTCAGGTCTGGACCCAGACTTTCAGAACAAAGGGAACTTGGCTTCCATGTCGGCCCAGCCTTAAATAGGTAGAAGGTAAAGTCCTGGGAAGTAAATGTGGGCAGTGTGATGCTGACCACAATCACCCCTGCTAAGTATCGATTGGTCTATAAAATATAGGTCTTGCCCTATATGCCTGAGGGCATAGAAAAGGATCCTTTACTTACTTAAGCGTATCTTATGGGACATCAGTCCCTAAGTACTAATCGAGGAGCCTCTGTATGAAGTATTAGCTTATAAATAATTACTGTGACTGAATACCTAAATAGTGTATCGTGAGTACTACATTGACATAACAGGAGATCACTTTTTGAAAGTCGGCTATGAATAATTTTGAATCATGGAATCAGTAGCTGCAGATATACAGGTTACAAATAGAATTATAGTATCATAGAATAATAGCATCACAGACTACTAGTTTCACAGAATAAAAATATTTTAGAATAATAGTATCACATAATCATAGTATCATAGAATAATAGAATCATATAATCATAGTGTCATAGAATAATAGTATCACATAATCATAGTGTCATAGAATAATAGTATCACATAATCATAGTGTCATAGAATAATAGTATCACATAATCATAGTGTCATAGAATAATAGTATCACATAATCATAGGGTCATAGAATAATAGTATCACATAATCATAGTGTCATAGAATAATAGTATCACATAATCATAGTATCATAGAATAATAGTATCGTCCACTGCCTTAGCATAGGGATCATCCTTCTTCATGTCCTGCAATCTCAGACAGAATTAAAAGTTATCATATTTACACCTTCTTTGACCAGACCAGGAATCATTTATCAATGTCTAATCTGTATTCTTAAAAAACTGTTCAGTTTCACATTATATCCGTATCATCTCATTGTTAGTTGGCGGTCAGCGGGGAGTTACTAGGAAATCTGGCCAATGCTCAACACTAAGGGGGAAAGGCGAGACGGATATAAAATCAGACAGTTACAGGTGCCATCAGAATTTGAACTTGCTGCTGCTGATAGGAACGGAGCGTGTATGGGAGCATCCTGAGTGCTGCGATGTTGATTCTTAATTCACCATTCAACATAGTTAATTGGCACCCTTCCTCTTTCCAGACAATAGTCTTATACTGTACTACGAGGAGGCATGGGACTCACAGCCAATGGCGAGTGTAAACTAGCAAGACCCGCTCGTATCAAGAAAAGTCTTGCACAATTAGAACATAGGATTTCTGGACCATTGTTGCTATCATATGTATTTAGTGTGTTTCTTCCCAGACGCTTAGCTCTCATCCGTTCTGCAATCATTTGTTCCTTCATTCTCATCCCCTTCCTGAATTTCCCTCTTCACACAACCTGGTCCGTGGCATTTTCTTTCCACGAATCCACCTCAGTACCTATATCATTCATGTCCTGCTTGCACACATTTTTATATCATAGTAGATGCCGGCCTAAACATATTCCAGCCATCTGTAATTCACCTTAGAGGTTGTCTTTAGGGACTCTACCATTCTTCATTCTCCAAAGAAGTTGTTACTTTTGAGGTTGGTTAAACAGTTAAGAACGCTGGGCTGTCTCATGCAGTAGACCCAGGTTTAAATCCTCAGCAAGGTCATGGATTGTTTCATCGGGGCAAATATAAACTCCTACCCTGCAAAGGCTGTGGCTGGTGTTTGTACCAGCCATGCGGCCATAAATCTGCAGACTCAAAGCCACCCCTTCCCCCCACCCCCCAACTGCAAAAGTGGTAAATACAGGCAGTTTGTTGGCAGATGTTGCTTTTAGATATACACTTTTTCCTCAACTGAAACCTGAGCAGCTTACGACCATCCACATTTACCACCACACAAGCAAAATGAAACAAAAATAGTGAATAAAGAAAGAAAACTACATTGATGGAGTAAAAATTTGTAAAGTATGTTCACATTTTATAAATGAAAAATGTTTACTTGACATTGCAGATTGAGAATATTCAGCGGGTCATCAAAGTGACACGCAAGAAGTTGGAAGCTATGAATGAAGAATTCGGCAAACATCAGCATCCGCCCTCCTTGTATGTTCAGGTGAGCGTTCCGTCTCACTAGTAATTTTTATAAGGACAGCTTGGGTGAGTTAGTTGAGAGGTGAAGGGCAGAAGGAGAAGTGCGGTAGACATGTTTCAGACATATACTTGGATTAGGTTAGATTCACACCAGTCAGTAACTATCTGTGTTCAGTACGGAAACTACTGTTACTTGAGCTTCCTTCCTTCTCTCCCCTTCCTTCCTTCCTTCCTTCCTTCCTTCCTTCCTTCCTTCCTTCCTTCCTTCCTTCCTTCCTTCCTTCCTTCCTTCCTTTGAATTGTGAAGTATTGTATAATTGGTAATTTTGCATACACAGCACCTAGAATTGCTTAGCCAAGATTGGTATTATAGCTCAATGTATACATTTTAACGTGGCCGTCTGTGGCTTATGTTAGGTTACCTACAACGCTGCCATGGGGACACCAGAATAATATCCTGCCTTTTATTGTCATCCTCAAGTGCCTTGTCTGGGGCAGCCATTTGTGATCAGGATTCTGCTGCTGTGTGTCATTAGATATCTTATCACAGCTGATATTGCTAACATTACATTTATTTTGTGTTACCCAGCTGGAAGGTGATGGGTATCAACCAGGTCATATTTTTTCCCTGCCCTGTCATGCGACGGGTCTAGCAAGCTGGCAGTGGTGTAACTGATTGCTGCTACACAAGAAATATTGAATACCTGTAGGAGAGGCACTTACGGACATCAGACCGGCAACGTAAGAAGTCAGAAAGATAGAACAACGTTTAGGATGATGAACAAATCCATAACCCAAGCCACCCAAGAAGTGCAAGAGAAATGCAGAAAAACACGGCACTGGGCTACAGCTTGGTATCAGTTGGACGACAAAAGAAGAAGACACAGCTGTGGATTGTTAATACCCAACCCAAGCCTAACCCACCTCTAATCGGTGCACACCAGAAAACTGAATCCACAAGATCTCAGTCTGCTGGGGCTTTGGCATCATCAGATGTTATAGGCTCTGTCTAATTAAATACTCCTTTAAACTTTGACAGATTACATCTTGCTCGAAGAAACTGTAAAAACATTGAGAGAAAACAGATTAAATGGTTTGGACATGTGTCAAGACATGTGCACCACAGAGAGTCCTGTCACTTGGACAAAAGGGAAGCAGAGCTAGAGGTCGACCACACAAGTGATGAATAGATGGAATATCTAAGACCAAAAATACCATCATCTAAGCAGGACATACCATGATGCTTACCCATTGCTTCTTCAATACCTGACACTGAAAGGCAGAACAGGACTAGAGAAGAAAAAGAAGTATTGTTAATTGCTGAGCTGTTTAAGCTTTCCACATAAGCCTTTCTCTGCTTTTTACAGCCACTCTTGCTTAGTATTTAACCACAAAAGACTAATTTCTCTACTTCTGTGCCCTTGTGGGTTCCAGTGCAAAGATATTCTAGTTGTTTTGTTCTCAAGTTTTCTCAGTCTATTTCCTATCCAGCACCACCGTCTTTTCTTCACCTGTTGGTCCACTGGAACTGAAAGGCAATATTATCACACATTAATAATCCTGGCTGAGCTGGATCAGAGCCATTTCTCATTGTATCTTGTTCGATAATTACTGGCCATTGTACCAAAGGTAATGACCTAAATATGGGTCAGTTGCTGTCAAGCTGGTGACAGGAGGTAAAAATACAACAAACAAAATGGGACTAGAAAGCTTAGTGGAGGGAATAGAAAAGAAGCGCACAAATACAACTAGTTTCATTCTTGATTTAGAAGCTGTGTTGTCTTGTCCGTTGAGTTTTCCAGCCACAGTTTGTGGTATACTTAGCTCTCCATTAGTAAAGATGTTGGTCAAAATGTTAGGTTGTATTTGTGCCCTTCATTTCCATTATCTTCTTTGAGCTTTCTGGTCACACATTAAGTTATATTAAGCAGATTGATTGTACCAAAACATCATTGCTTACTATATATTGCCTTTTCAGGAATATGAAGAACTCGCCAACAAAATTCACGAGTACCAGCTCAGGGAGCAGAGACTTCAAGAGCAGATGAGTGTGGGAGGAGGTTCACCTCCACCCTCGCCCCCTGTAGATAGGACTCTGCCGGAGGAGCCACTGCTGTCCCCAGGGCTTCCGGTCACCACCACCAACAGCAGCAGTAATGGGTGGGGTTTGGCTGTCGGGCAGCGCAGTCCTCAGTTGGCTGTACGCTCTACGAATGCTCACATCAGGGCCTTCCTGCCAAATAGTATGGTAACGACGGTAAGTACATTTACTTGACGCAAATGCATGCATTTCTCTCGCTCTCTCCCATACCCCATTCATTCTCTTCTTTCACCTCCTTTCTCCCATCCTCCTTTTCTTTCATTACCTCCTCCTTCTTCTCTCACCCTCTCTGTATGTGTGTGCTTTTTTGTGGGAGTGTTCAAGTTTGGGTACATTTATGACTTTTTGTAGTCAGGGATGTCCTCTCTGCATTTTATTACCAATTCTTCTTCTTCTTGGCGTTTACCGGCTGTAAACTTCGGCAGAAACTTCTAATTGTTTAATCACCTCTGGACTTTAACGACTTATTCCAGAACCTGAGTATTGCATGCACATTCGTTTTACAGATCTGACTTATTTGTATGCAGACTGTTGGTTCCTTGCCTGTCAGGCAGATGCACTCCAACATCATAGGAAGCTCCTACTTAGTTGACTCTTATAACATTTTTCGGGGTCGGCAGTGGGTCTGTTCTTGTTTTTCATATAATAGGGCTCCAGAACCCACACAGGGATTTATATACTTTGTTCCTTGTGTGGTTTCCTAGGCTCTATTTTGGGAGGGAGAAATTTTGACTCCCTTCCCCCCTAAAATGTTGTAGAAGCTGTCTAACTAGGTGTGTTTCCTTCTGAGTGGCAGTGGACCTGCCTGAGAGGCAAGGAAACAACATTCTGTGTACAAATGAGCCAGATCTGTAAAACAAGAAATGCACTAACCACAGTGCCAGCATAGCTTTATAGATGATGAGAACAGATCTTTCAGAATATTTCGGTACAAATGTTCTTGTTACATTTTGTTACAAATGTTCTTGTAGACCTGCCTAAGAGACAAGGAAACAACATTCTGTGTACAAATAAGCGAGATCTGTAAAACAAGAAATGCACTAACCATAGTGCCAGCATAGCTTTTCAGATGATAACAAATCTTTCAGAACATTTTGTTACAAATGTTCTTGTTACATTTTGTTACAAATGTTCTTGCTACCTTTTGCAGATTGTAGCTCACCCTGGAACTACGCTCAAAGATGGTCTCATGAAGGCCATGAGGAGACGACAGCTTGATGCCTCCAAGTGTCAAGTATTCAGGCATAAAACCAGGTAATGTGTTTTATGTCCCTTTCCTCTTTGGTAATGGATGTGGAGAAATGTTATGGTCTTGTTTGGACTTCTGCTCTAGGCCATAGCTGTACCTTGCTGCAGAAGCTGGGTATGTGCTACATTACAGGAAGAAAAAACAACACTGAAATGAAAATGTTGGGAGATTTGGAAATTACTCCAGCATGCAGATCGGAAAAAGAACCTACCGTAGGGACATGTCAAGCCGTCTGACCAGAAACTTGCTGCTCAGAAGACATCAGCCCACAGTCAGATGTGACTGGAGGAGGCTGTTATTGTTACATTACGTACTGACTTAGTTGCTTCTATTTTACCTTGGGTTGTAGAGGTTTGCCAGACTTCTCTATCAGCAGTTTTTTTTTCTGGCTTTGTTCCATTCCGGTCCTCTCTCAGTTAGGGATTGTTGGATGTTGTCTTCCCAGCAGACCCTGGGTCGCCCTTAAGGTCTGGTTTCCTGGTTCTTAACCTCTGCAGTCCTATTCTGGAACCTGAGTGTTTGCGTGAGCATCCGTTTGACAGATCTGACTATTTTGTTTGCACTGTTGGTTCCTTGCCTCTCAGGCAGATGCACTCTGACTTCGAAGAAAGCTCCCAATTAGTCGACTCTTACGACATGCTTCTTTTGGGTAGGCAGTGGGTCTTTTCTTGTTTTTTCTATAATAGGGCTCTGGAACCCATACAGGGATGTATGTACATGTGTATATTTTTAGGATTTCTGTTAGATATGTATGTACATGTCTATGTTTTCAGAATTCCTTGTATGTATCTTTGTACATGTGAATGTTTTCAGGATTCCTTGTATGTACGTGTATGTTTTCAGGATTCAGCTGACATGGAACACAGATATGGGGGAGCTTGCAGGACAGGAAGTGTCTGTAGAACTCATGGAGGTCGATGATGAGAATGGTGTTCCGCCTTCGATGCACAGATCTGTATTTCTGTCACACAATTTTGTAAGACATTTTTATTCCTTATTTCAGCTTGAATTTTATTTGTTTTTCATCCTTCGTTCTATTAATACTTTAAATAAGTTTTGGTTCAGTGAATGTTTTCCGTAAATAAATGCAGTCTTCTTCTTCGTCTTCACGGTGACTGGCTTTAGAAAACTCTGGCAGAAAGTTCTGGTTGTTCGTTCACTTCTGGACTCTAGTCCTCTTCCATAACCTGAGTTTTGTGTGTGCATCACTTTACAGATCTCACTCATTTGTGCGCAGACTGTTAGTTTCTTGCCTCTGAGGAGGTGCACTCCAATTTTGAAGGAAGCTCCAAATTAGTCAACTCTTACGACATGCTTTTGGAGAGGTGATAGGTCTGTTATTGTTTTCCTCACATGGGGGCATTGAACCCACACGGGGAATAGATGCAGTTATTTTCAGTTTTTTCCTATTTTATTGTTTTTAAATTCTTTTTCTTTTCTATTTTTTTTGCCAGCTTTATACTACCAGTGTCAGACTTGGACCTTTACTAAAGTTAATAAACGCAAAATCATAATATAGAGAAAAGATGTTTTAGATGGGCGGCCAGTTTAACAGGAAAAGATACAATTAAAAAATAATTTAGAAGAGACTGGGTCTGAAACCAGTCATACAGTTTATTAAAAAGCAACAAATGAGATGGTTTGGTCATCTAACAAGTACGTCCTGGTACCAGCTGCCGCAGAGAGCAGCGCTGAAAAAAAAAAATAGTGAACACATAGCAAGGAGAAGATCATACAGACAGTTGAATGATGGCATCAAGAACAGGCTTAAAGAAATGAAGACCAAATTATACAACACTGTCAGGGGTCGAGAAGCGGGTGGCAAGATCAGAGCATGTGTTTATAAAGGTCATTCAACTTGCACTGACCGACGTGCTCATTTTTACTTCTCATATTCGACTCCGACTCCCTGAGCTTGATAAGTACCAAGAGTTATGAGTGCTGTCACATAGTTCATTGTTGATACACTCAAAGCACATTAACACTGCAATCACTGCCATGACTACAACATGAACAAACTGTATCAGAATATGGTTACAATCCACATGAGAATGTCTGATGTAGATACAAAATGTTGAGCTTTGTTACTTTTACCTTTATTATTCTGTTATTTCTACATCGTTCTAAATAATTCAACATATTATCTAACTCCTATCTAACTCAATAACTAAAACCATAATTAATAAGGCATGGCCACACTACAGTTGTCTAGACCGTCCAATCGACGACTGTCCCCAGCCGGTTCACACATAACGAGCTCACTTTTCCTTACTTCAGGTGGTTCACGTGGCCTCTGTGGCTGTCTGCACATCATGACAATCACATGTTTAGTACTTTAACAGCAGTTCCCCCCCCCCCCCCCCCCCCCCCCCCCCCCCCCCCCCTCCATCCTTACCCTGATCATGACAAACACATTGGAAAGAACACACAGAAGAACCTTTCATCTGCCCACATACACTTCGATGAAGTAACTAAGGAAGAGAAAAAGTAGAAGATTTTCCGTTAGTTTAAGTTACTTTCAATCAGTTCTGATCCAGATGTGAAGCACTCCTTGCCATGATGTCGAACTGTCCAGCATCTTCTCTCTCTTGGTCTGCCTCTGCCTCTTCCTCAAAATTTCTCACCATCATAACGTACTCCATTTTCTCTCTCCCATGACATGACTAAAGAATGTACATTGTCTGCTTCTGATGTGGGTAATCAGTTCTTTTGTGAGTCACTTTCAAGACATCGTCATTACTCTTTTTGTCTGTCCAATGTATTCTCATCATTCATCTATAAAATCACATCTCCGCAGTTTTCACATAATTTTTCACTAATTTGCGTTACTCCATGTAAATCACTAGAAAAAATAGTGTTGCTAGATCACTCATACAAATTTCATAATTGTTGTCATGAAATCTAATTGGTTTGTTGATTTCGGAATCCACCCAACAGGGAAGGAAAACGTATTTCTCACTGACTTTTTGTGATGTCTGCCATAATCTGCTGTTTCAAAGTATCCGCTGCCAGACGTGTGGGCTGAGATTCCACCAGCGCTGTGAGGATAAAGCTCCTCGAAACTGCCAGGGAGACCTTGAGTTCTATCTGCGCTCGTTGCGAGACAAGTCTCGAGAACTTATTCGCGAGTAAGTCTCTTTTTTTTTAAAAATAAATTGTTTGTTTAAAGCTGAAATAGGAAACACAACAAATAAGTCTTTTGATGAAATCAAACTACTTTGAAAGGAAAGTTGTGGTTAGACAAGTCTTGACAGCTTATTCGCGAGTAAGTCACTGTTTTATTTTGTATTGAAAGCTGAAAAAGGAGACACAACAAATCAGTCTCTTCATGTAATCAAACTACTATGAAACAAAACTTGCGGTGGTGGGGTAGGTTCAGATCCCTTATAATAGGAAACCTTCTTCTTCTTCTTTGCACTCCCTATCTGTAAACTCCGGTGGAAAGTTCTGGACACATACATTCAGACTGCCACTGGTACCATTGAAATTGAGAAAGGTGGAGACATACATGCTCCGTGCAGAGTGGCAAGTATCACCAGTTAGCAGATAGACTGGCTGGTTCTGCACCACTTAATAGTAAATTGTTTGCATGGCAAGCTAGGTGTGGTCAAGACCCTTTGGGAGTGAGTGAACAATGTGGATGCTAACATAGATCATCACCATCTGAAAAGAATGGTGCCGCAGAGAGTTCTTTTTGTTGTTGCCTTCGCTGGGTGTAAACTCTGATGGAAACTTCTAGTTGTTTCCAGAACTTGAGTTTTGCAGTGAATGATTCATACCAAGGCCCCATGAACTCATCATTGTGTCGTTACTAAAGGCTAAAGGAGAATTATGACACTAGATCTAAATGGCCATTTCCCCCCTTCGCAATAACACACACACATATACACACCCCTCTACCCCCTATGTTATTAGTAAATTAATAGTAATAATAATTCAGACAAACAGACATGTCTGACTCACGAAGAGAACTGATTGCCCGCATCAGAAGGAGAAAACTGGAGTACATTGTGACGGTAGGAAAGTTGAAGGGGAGGAGAGGCAAAGGGAGACAGAGAGAAATGATGCTGGATAGTTTGACATCATGGCATGGAGGATCATCTGTGTCAGAGCTGATTGAAAGTACACGAGGAAAGGTTGCAGATAGACATGACTACCAATGCCACACAGAAGAATAATAATATCGAACAGTGTGCAGGTGCAAACAGAACAAACGTTATTGATTAGGCAATGTGGGGGTCAGACCAACCAATGCAGTAGTGCCGGTTTGGCAGAGCTGTTATGGGGATTTTGTAAGAGATGGCACTGCTGCATCTAGGGCAGCGATTCTCAACCTGTGGGTCACGACTCTTTTGTGGGTCGAACAACCCTTTGACAGGGGCCACCTGAGACCACCGGAGAACACATATTCACTGAAGTTATGAAGTAGCAACGAAAACAGTTGTATGGTTAGGGGTCGCAGCAACATAACTGTATTAAAGGGTCACCACATTAGGAAGGTTGAGAACCACTGATCTGGGAGCTAACAAGTTTAGCTTTCGCATTTTTCTTCTATCACAGATGTCTGCACAGATTAAGTTATAATCTCTTCTCTTCTGCTCTTTATTATAAGCCCTCAGCTAACTCACACCATGTCATTCTATGTGTTTTTGGTCAGTCTTTATTTCTATATTAATAAAGATGTTGGGTTTTTAGTCCGCATCTGTGGCTTAGGTGTTGTTATTCTGGGGAGTTGGGTTCAATTCAGTTGCAGACAATTTGGCAGCAGACCACCTTACTTTCATTTTTGAAGTGCTTTCGAGAACGGACCATTCAGAGGCAGTGGCAAACTGCTGAATTTAAAATTGCCTAATAAAATTACAAATTGCCACAAAAAAAATGCTGTGGTTGGTTCTTCAACATCCTGTAAAAACTGTTAAAAAAAAAATTACTTCCCTGGTGGGTTCCAGTCTGAAGACATTCTAGTTATATTGTTTTTACATTTTAATTGTTTATTGTGAATGAATTTCGCCCCTGTGTCACCGGGGCCCTCACGGGAAGCAAAGAATAGTGACACTGCACCCTACCAGGCATGTCGTAAAAGGCGACTAAGGGTAGGGTTGGGCGTGAGGTTGGCTACCTCATCCTGTAAAAACCATGGCCACAAAAACCAACCAACCATGGATAAGTCAAAAAGAGAAGCAAATAAACTCCAGCCAACCAAGATGAGGGGAGGCTCTTCAAATAGAAGAAGTATGACACGGTGTGGAGAAAGCCGTAAGGAGTCCGGATCGTTGACTTACCTCCTCTCAGCTAGGAAAACCTCCAGAATTGGCACCTGGAATGTTAGAACTCTCTATGATATAGGGAGAACAATGGAAGTAGCAAAGGAAATGAAACATTATAGAATTAGTATTTTGGGGTTATGTGAAACTAGATGGACTGGGACAGGGAAAAGTATTCTCAATTCAGGAGAAACTATTTTGTTCTCAGGACACACAGAGGAAAATTCGCCGCACAGTGAAGGAGTGGCCCTGATGCTTTCAAAAGAAGCAGACAGTGCACTAATAGAATGGGAAGCTGTGAGTCCCAGAATAATAAGAGCATCTTTTAGAACAGTAAAACAGAAGGTGAACATGTCGGTAATACAGTGTTATGCACCAACAAATGATAAAGATGCATCCATTAAGGAAGAATTTTACATGCAGCTTCAGAATATTATAAATAATAAAAGAAAGGGCAACTTAAAAATTTTGATGGGTGACTTGAATGCTAAGATAGGATCAGACAACACAGGTTATGAAGAAATTATGGGGAGACATGGTCTAGGAGAAATGAATGAAAATGGAGAATTGTTCACAAATTTTTGTGCAGGTAACCAGTATGTTATTGGTGGAAGTATTTTTCCCCATAAAAGTATACACAAGGCAACATGGGAATCACCAGACCATAAGACAACTAATCAAATTGACCACATATGTATTAACAAAAAGTTTAGATCATCCCTTTACGATGTTAGGGCTTTCAGAGGTGCCGATGTATTTACTGACCATTTCCTGGTGATAAGTAAAATCAAGTTGAAACTAAAAAGATATATAACATCTTATAATCATAGAAACCAATATAATGTAGGCTTTCTCAGAGATAAAGAAATTAAGGAACAGTTCTCAGTTACGGTCTCTAATAAGTACCAGGTGTTGCAGCAGTTAGCTGAAGATGTCAACACAGAAGTCTGCTGGGATCAGATCAAAGGAATCTGGAATGAATCTTGCGTAGAAGTTCTTGGCAAGAAAGAAAGGAAACATAAAGCATGGATAACACCAGAAACCATTAAATTGATTGAAGACAGGAAAAGTAAAAAGGCAGAATTAAACAATAGCAAAACTAGAGCTGCTAAAGCTAGAGCTCAGGAGAATTACACAGAAGCCAACAAGGAAGTTAGGAGGCATATAAGGGCAGATAAAGTGAAACATCTAAATGATCTAGCACAAGAAGCAGAGACAGCAGCAGCAAAAGGAAACCTCAGAGAACTTTACAGCAACACAAGAAAATTAGTAGGTAAATATAGTCAGCCAACTGGATCAATCAAAAATAGTCAAGGAAAGGTACTTACTAACACTAAAGATCAAATGGACAGATGGGTTGAATATTTTGAAATGCTTCTAAATAGACCAGGCCCAGAGGTTCCCCCAGATATCCAGCCTTTAGAAATGGAACTGAATATCAACTGTGAGATACCATCCAAAGAGGAAATTAGAAAAGCTATAAATCTTCTTAAGGAAGGAAAGGCGTCAGGCCCAGATGGTATCCCAGCTGAAGCCATCAGGACCAACATAAACACATCAACAGAATTGCTACATAGATTATTCAGTAAAGTCTGGGAGACCGAAGAAATACCAGCAGACTGGAGAGAAGGATATCTTGTGAAACTGCCCAAAAAAGGTGATCTACAGGAGTGTGAAAACTATAGAGGAATTATGTTGCTGTCAGTTCCTGGAAAAATATTAAGTAGAATTATTTTGGAAAGATTAAAAGATGCTATTGATAAAATGCTAAGAGATGAGCAGGCGGGTTTTCGGTCCAACAGATCCTGTACTGATCAGATAGCCACATTACGTATTATAATAGAGCAAAGCATTGAACTGAACTCACCACTTTACATTGGATTTATAGACTATGAAAAAGCATTTGACAGCATTGATAGGGAATCTCTCTGGAAATTGATGGGGCACTATGGAATCCCACAGAAAATTATCAACTTAGTAAAGGCAACATATAAAGACATGAAATGTCGAGTTCTTCATGAGGGAAAGCTAACAGATGCATTTGAAATAAAAACAGGTGTGCGACAGGGATGTCTTTTGTCGCCTCTCCTATTTTTACTGGCTATAGACTGGACTATGAAAACAGTAACTGCTAACACCAAGAATGGAATTCAGTGGACCCCTACAAAACAGCTTGATGATCTGGACTTCGCTGATGATATTGCCCTTCTGTCCCATTCACGGAATCAGATACAAGATAAATATACTTAATGCGAGATCACAGCAGCTTGGTCTGAAAATCCATAAAGGAAAGACAAAGATAATGAGAATAAATCAGGCAAATAGTAATGTGGTTTCTCTTAATGGCACCCCACTCCAAGACGTGGAGTCGTACACCTATTTGGGCAGTAATGTAGATAAAGATGGAGGAACTGATAGAGATATTAAAATAAGAATACAAAAGGCAAGAGGGGCTTTCATAGCACTAGGGAATTTGTGGAGGTCAAAAGAAATTAAAAGAAATACTAAACTAAAAATTTTTAATTCTAATGTCAAATCAGTACTATTGTATGGGGCGGAAACATGGAGAACAACGAAGGCAATTACTAATAAATTACAGACATTCATTAACTGGTGCCTGCGCAGAATAGAGGGAATAAAAATGGTATGATAGAATAACTAATCTAGAACTTTGGGAGAGAACTAAACAGGCTCCAGTGGATCAGGAGGTGAGGAGAAGACGCTGGCGTTGGATAGGGCACACACTGAGAAAACAGGAGAACAGCATAACTAGAATGTCTTTGCATTGGAACCCACAGGGGCATAGGAATAAAGGAAGGCCAAAAAACACATGGAGAAGAGAGCTGGAGAATGAGGTTAGAAAGATTGGGAGGACATGGGGAGAGCTCCATGTAATGGCGAAGGATAGAACGACTTGGCGTGAGTTGGTTGAGGGCCTATGCTCCATTGGGGGATAAAAAGGCAGAAGAAGAAGTGAATGAATTTACCTTCTTGTTCAGGTATGTAACAGAAGGTCAGGGTCCACCTAGTAATAGGCAAGGTCAGTCGTCAAAAGGAGGTCACCAGAGTCGAACTCCAGCTCCCCAATTAGGACAGAGAGAGCGATCTACTTCAGCTCCCAATGTCTGTGCTAACATGATCGATAACGGTGATATAAGTCAACAGGTGAGTATCGTTGAGGATAATAGTGGTATGCATCAGCAGTTGAGTAGAGTGGATGATAATAGTGATATATCAGTGGGTGAATAGAGTGGATGATAATAGTCATACAAGTCAGTAGATGGATGATAATAGTGATATGCATCAGCAGGTGAGTAGAGTGAATGATAATAGTGATAGAAATTAGTGGGTGAGTTGACATCACAGCACTCGGAGCATCCCCATGTGCACACTATCCCAGTATTCAGCAGCCAGCACAGAGTACGAGTACTTGAGGTGCCATTCGGAGTCTGGTTAAATGTGCGTCATGCTGTTCCTCTGAGTGTAGTGAGCTGGCCAGACCTTCTGGTCACACCCAGGTGCATCATTCTCTCCAGGCCATAACAGTCCGGTTTCTCTTCTGACTTTGTCACTCGTTTCCAAAGAGCCCTGACTGCCATTTTGTTTTACTAGTGAAAATTGGGTTGTTACATGTGCAGCAGAAAGTTGTGTTGTTACCTGTGCAACAGAAAGTTGTGTTGTTACCTGTGCAGCAGAAAGTTGTGTTGTTACATGTGCAGCAGAAAGTTGTGTTGTTACCTGTGCAGCAGAAAGTTGTGTTGTTACATGTGCAGCAGAAAGTTGTGTTGTTACCTGTGCAGCAGAAAGTTGTGTTGTTACCTGTGCAGCAGAAAGTTGTGTTGTTACATGTGCAGCAGAAAGTTGTGTTGTTACATGTGCAGCAGAAAGTTGTGTTGTTACCTGTGCAGCAGAAAGTTGTGTTGTTATGTGTGCAGCAGAAAGTTGTGTTGTTATGTGTGCAGCAGAAAGTTGTGTTGTTACCTGTGCAGCAGAAAGTTGTGTTGTTACCTGTGCAGCAGAAAGTTGTGTTGTTACCTGTGCAGCAGAAAGTTGTGTTGTTATGTGTGCAGCAGAAAGTTGTGTTGTTACCTGTGCAGCAGAAAGTTGTGTTGTTACCTGTGCAGCAGAAAGTTGTGTTGTTACATGTGCAGCAGAAAGTTGTGTTGTTACATGTGCAGCAGAAAGTTGTGTTGTTACATGTGCAGCAGAAAGTTGTGTTGTTACCTGTTCTGCATAAAGTTGTGTTGTTACGTGTGCAGCAGAAAGTTGTGTTGTTACCTGTTCTGCATAAAGTTGTGTTGTTACGTGTGCAGCAGAAAGTTGTGTTGTTACCTGTTCTGCATAAAGTTGTGTTGTTACGTGTGCAGCAGAAAGTTGTGTTATGTGTGAAGCAGAAAGTTTTGTTGTTACCTGTGCAGCATAAAGTTTTGTTGTTACCTGTGCAGCATAAAGTTGTGTTGTTATGTGTGAAGCAGAAAGTTGTGTTGTTATGTGTGAAGCAGAAAGTTTTGTTGTTATGTGTGCAGCAGAAAGTTGTGTTGTTATGTGTGCAGCAGAAAGTTGTGTTGTTACCTGTTCTGCATAAAGTTGTGTTGTTACGTGTGCAGCAGAAAGTTGTGTTATGTGTGCAGCAGAAAGTTGTGTTATGTGTGAAGCAGAAAGTTGTGTTGTTATGTGTGCAGCAGAAAGTTGTGTTGTTATGTGTGCAGCAGAAAGTTGTGTTGTTATGTGTGAAGCAGAAAGTTGTGTTGTTATGTGTGCAGAAAGTTGTGTTGTTAGCAGAAAGTTGTGTTGTTATGTGTGTGTTGTTATGTGAAGCAGAAAGTTTTGTTGTTACCTGTGCAGCAGAAAGTTGTGTTGTTATGTGAAGCAGAAAGTTGTGTTGTTACCTGTGCAGCAGAAAGTTGTGTTGTTACCTGTGCAGCAGAAAGTTGTGTTGTTATGCGTGAAGCAGAAAGTTGTGTTGTTACCTGTGCAGCAGAAAGTTGTGTTGTTATGTGTGAAGCAGAAAGTTGTGTTGTTACCTGTGCAGCAGAAAGTTTTGTTGTTATGTGTGCAGCAGAAAGTTGTGTTGTTATGTGTGAAGCAGAAAGTTGTGTTGTTACCTGTGCAGCAGAAAGTTGTGTTGTTACCTGTGCAGCAGAAAGTTGTGTTGTTATGTGTGAAGCAGAAAGTTGTGTGTTGTTACCTGTGCAGCAGAAAGTTGTGTTGTTACCTGTGCAGCAGAAAGTTTTGTGTTGTGTGTGCAGCAGAAAGTTTGTTGTTACCTGTGCAGCAGAAAGTTGTGTTGTTACCTGTGCAGCAGAAAGTTTGTGTTGTTAAAGTTTTGTGTTGTTATGTGTGAAGCAGAAAGTTGTGTTGTTATGTGTGTGCAGCAGAAAGTTGTGTTGTTACCTGTGCAGCAGAAAGTTGTGTTTACTGTTAGCAGAAAGTTGTGTTGTTACAGTGCAGCAGAAGTTTGTGTTGTTACATGTGCAGCAGAAAGTTGTGTTGTTACCTGTGCAGCAGAAAGTTGTGTTGTTACCTGTGCAGCAGAAAGTTGTGTTTACCTGTTAGAAAGTTGTGTTGTTTACGTGTGCAGCAGAAAGTTGTGTTGTTATGTGTGAAGCAGAAAAGTTGTGTTGTTACCTGTGCAGCAGAAAGTTGTGTTGTTATGTGTGAAGCAGAAGTTGTGTTGTTATGTGTGAAGCAGAAAGTTGTGTTGTTATGTGTGCAGCAGAAAGTTGTGTTGTTATGTGTGCAGCAGAAAGTTGTGTTGTTACCTGTGCAGCAGTTTTGTTGTTACCTGTGTGTTTGTTGTTATGTGTGAAGCAGAAAGTTGTGTTGTTTATGTGTGAAGCAGAAAGTTGTGTTGTTACAGTGCAGCAGAAAGTTGTGTTGTTATGTGTGCAGCAGAAAGTTGTGTGTTATGTGTGCAGCAGAAAGTTGTGTTGTTATGTGTGCAGCAGAAAGTTGTGTTGTTATGTGTGCAGCAGAAAGTTGTGTTATGTGTGAAGCAGAAAGTTGTGTGTTACCTGTGCAGCAGAAAGTTGTGTTGTTATGTTTGTGTTGTTAGCAGAAAGTTTGTTTGTTATGTGTGCAGCAGAAAGTTGTGTTGTTATGCAGAGCAGAAAGTTGTGTTGTTACCTGTGTGTTTGTGTTGCAGCAGAAAGTTGTGTTGTTACCTGTTGTTATGAAGCAGAAAGTTGTGTTGTTACCTGTGCAGCAGAAAGTTGTGTTGTTACGTGTGCAGCAGAAAGTTGTGTTATGTGTGAAGCAGAAAGTTGTGTTGTTATGTGTGAAGCAGAAAGTTGTGTTGTTACCTGTGCAGCAGAAAGTTGTGTTGTTATGTGTGCAGCAGAAAGTTGTGTTGTTACCTGTGCAGCAGAAAGTTGTGTTGTTACCTGTGGCAGCAGAAAGTTGTGTGTTATGTGTGAAGCAGAAAGTGTTGTTGTTATGTGTGTTGTTAGCAGAAAGTTGTGTTGTTATGTGTGAAGCAGAAAGTTTGTTGTTATGTGTGAAGCAGAAAGTTGTGTTGTTATGTGTGAAGCAGAAAGTTTTGTTGTTATGTTGTTATGTGTGAAGCAGAAAGTTGTGTTGTTATGTGTGAAGCAGAAAGTTTTGTTGTTATGTGTGAAGCAGAAAGTTTTGTTGTTATGTGTGAAGCAGAAAGTTTTGTTGTTATGTGTGAAGCAGAAAGTTGTGTTGTTATGTGTGAAGCAGAAAGTTTTGTTGTTATGTGTGAAGCAGAAAGTTTTGTTATTGTGATTGTGTGTTATGTGTGCAGCAGAAAGTTTTGTTGTTATGTGTGAAGCAGAAAGTTTTGTTGTTATGTGTGCAGCAGAAAGTTGTGTTGTTATGTGTGAAGCAGAAAGTTGTGTTGTTATGTGTGAAGCAGAAAGTTGTGTTGTTACCTGTGCAGCAGAAAGTTGTGTTGTTATGTGTGAAGCAGAAAGTTGTTTGTTACCTGTTCTGCATAAAGTGTGTTGTTAACGTGTGCAGCAGAAAGTTGTGTTGTTACCTGTGAAGCAGAAGTTTGTTGTTACGTGTGAAGCAGAAGTTTTGTGTTATGTGTGAAGCAGAAAGTTTTGTTGTTAAGCAGAAAGTTTGTTGTATGTGTGAAGCAGAAAGTTTTGTTGTTATGTGTGAAGCAGAAAGTTTGTTGTTATGTTAAGCAGAAAGTTTTTGTTGTTATGTGTGAAGCAGAAAGTTGTGTTGTTATGTGTGAAGCAGAAAGTTTTGTTGTTAGCAGAAAGTTGTGTTGTTATGTGTGCAGCAGAAAGTTGTGTTATGTGTGAAGCAGAAAGTTGTGTTGTTATGTGTGAAGCAGAAAGTTGTGTTGTTATGTGTGCAGCAGAAAGTTGTGTTGTTATGTGTGAAGCAGAAAGTTGTGTTGTTATGTGTGAAGCAGAAAGTTGTGTTGTTATGTGTGAAGCAGAAAGTTGTGTTATGTGTGCAGCAGAAAGTTGTGTTGTTACGTGTGCAGCAGAAAGTTGTGTTGTTATGTGTGAAGCAGAAAGTTGTGTTGTTATGTGTGCAGCAGAAAGTTGTGTTGTTACCTGTGCAGCAGAAAGTTGTGTTGTTATGTGTGAAGCAGAAAGTTGTGTTGTTATGTGTGCAGCAGAAAGTTGTGTTGTTATGTGTGCAGCAGAAAGTTGTGTTGTTATGTGTGCAGCAGAAAGTTGTGTTGTTATGTGTGCAGCAGAAAGTTGTGTTGTTATGTGAAGCAGAAAGTTGTGTTGTTATGTGTGCAGCAGAAAGTTGTGTTGTTATGTGTGCAGCAGAAAGTTGTGTTGTTATGTGTGCAGCAGAAAGTTGTGTTGTTATGTGTGCAGCAGAAAGTTGTGTTGTTATGTGTGCAGCAGAAAGTTGTGTTGTTACGTGTGCATGTGTGAAGCAGAAAGTTGTGTTGTTATGTGTGAGCAGTTTTGTTGTTATGTGTGCAGAAAGTTTGTGTTGTTATGTGTGCAGCAGAAAGTTGTGTTGTTATGTGTGCAGCAGAAAGTTGTGTTATGTGTGAAGCAGAAAGTTGTGTTGTTATGTGTGAAGCAGAAAGTTGTGTTGTTATGTGTGAAGCAGAAAGTTGTGTTATGTGTGAAGCAGAAAGTTGTGTTATGTGTGAAGCAGAAAGTTGTGTTGTTATGTGTGCAGCAGAAAGTTGTGTTATGTGTGAAGCAGAAAGTTGT